TGCCATTTTCCTTCATGATTTTCCTTTTAGCTCATTTAAATTGTAGCCCACGTGTTTTCCTAATTCGGTTCGTTAGAATATGATATGTTGGGATGATCCCTGAATATTGTGGCATGTTAAGTTTCTTCAAAGCCGTTTTTGGAGGGCTAGGCAGGGTTCGGTAAACTCTTCCGTGGTGCCCTCACCGATCAACGTCGACAAAACACGGGCGGGTACGCGAACCAGGGACGGAGACTATACACACACCTGCGGCGCCGATCGTTCGCTTCGGCTGCCACTTGAGAGATTTCGTTCGAAGTTTGCGTTTTTCTCCGAAGAAAAGGTATGTATTTTTTCAGGGCACATATACACTTCGGTTGTCAGTGACCGATAGACGCCGTGATTGTGGCATACATCGTCTGCCAGTTGATATCGAAAAATAGGATAGGCCAAGTTCTGTAGAAACTGAAAGATCACGAAATCGCGAAGCGTGCAGTGATTGCGGAAGCTGGCGTCGACAGCTAACGCTGTACCACCTGGTTCTGGGTTTTGTGTGCGCGGTATGCGAGTTCATTGTCCAAGGACAATTTCGAAGACAGGTGGGAGGAGCAAGGCTTCATTTCAGGGGGGGGGGCATGTTTAGGGAGGGGCATTAGTCCCAAGTATGAATTTGATAGTCGCAACAATCTGTCATTTCCCCGGAAAACAAGATCAGCCGTACTGGAAATAAGTCTCAATTCCAAGTGCCACAAGGGGGCCTATTGAATTGTTTTGAGTGGGGTTGTTTTGGTTTGTGTAGGGCCTGCCCTAGTGAGGGAAAAAGGCTTTACCTCCATGGTACATGTAGTGGGGCCTGCAAAAAACTGGAGAAGTTTGAAAAAGAGTTCTGTATTCAGTCACCACAGCCCTGAGTAAATATGAGTAAGTTTTGAAAATTATGACTTAAAAATAACTTTCCTCGGACCATTGTGTTTTTTTCTCATGTTGAAAGGGCTTGCCTTTAATGACTATTTAGCATTATGTAGAATTTGTTATGTTTTGGTATTTGACGGCTGGATACAGAACTCTTCCCACCAGCTGTATTTGTTGGGCTGGCCGCACTACAGTACATGTGCTGTGGTGGTTGTGACTGTCTCAACTGTGATGCTCTAGTTTGGGCATATTAAGAACCATTATCAGGTAATTATGCATAAATGATGGATTAATGGTCCAGTTATATATTTGAGCAGGTGTTATTTCATAATCTGTTGTGAGTTAGGCCTGTTTGAGGTAAAGGTGGAAGTTGTGTACTCTGTTGGTCAACTCTCTTGCCGTGTGTAGAACTAAATGTGGAAACTACATTGAGAACAAGACAATGTGATTTTTCCGTGCAAACAATTTGAATATATGGGAGGGTTATGTCACAGTGTGGTTAATGAAGCTATTTTTACCAAAACGTATCATGTAATATATTTTTGTATTTTGTTTGTAAAAATCACCCATCATTGTTCTACTTCAATCTGCTTGAAATCAGACCTACTGTACCAAGGATCACCATTCCATTTCAAATCAATTAAAAACTTCCCTGGTCATAACAAGTGAAAAACCATGAATAAACTTAGCTACTTCAGAAATGATGTACATGTCATTGCCCTTTGGAACATGAGTTTCTTAAAACTGAACTTATTTATAATTCTAAACTTACAACAGCTTTTGAAGATCAGGTTGCGTAATGCATTGATGCATTGTGTGGCTTTGAAAGCTCTTTAATCCAGTTCGTTTCCTAGTTTAAGATAGCGTGCCTTCTTGCCAATATCAAAAGTCAATTACTTTAATTAAAGGAATCATCAAGGACCACTTGAAAGTAATGGACTTGCAAAGAAGTAGAAACAATTATTGAACATGTATGCTGCAGAAAGTCAATTCCTCAAAATTGAGGTGTGGAATCAAGTCTGAATTTGGAATCAAATTTTATTCAGTGCTGATCCAGACTCCCTCAAGTTCAGATTGGTATTCAGCGTCCTAATTGGTCTTTCAATATCAGGGTAGACATTGAAGGGTAGGATGGGTGACGTGGGCTATGACTTTGCTGCTGACGACCGTGCCCGACGCCGTGAAGAGCGCCGCCGCCGACGGGCCGAGGAGAAGGCACGAGAGGAAAGAGAACGGTGAGTTGTACAGAGCACATTGAAGAATAGCTGCTGTAGAGTTTTTTTTAAATACAAACCTTCAGAATGCACCTTTGTGTCCAAGTTAACCATTTTCAACTTCCGTTTCAATTTTCTAAAGTGGATTACCCCAGCTTTTAGGTTTTGATGCAGAAAGTATTAGTATTTCCATATTCATGAGCCAAACTTTGATGTCATCCAAGGAAGAAAGCCTCAGTGTTGCATTAGTTTGTGCACAGAAAATGCCTTCATTTTTGCAGATTTCACTGACTGAAGTTTCGTTTCTTTAGTGATTCAACATTTTCTCAGAAATGTTTCAAGTTTTCTATTTGGACTTTAAGTATGTAGCATTAAAACTTTGTCATGCACTTATTTGTTGTCAATTTTGCTGCACTGGTGCTGCCAAGCAAACTTGTGTATGACAAAATACTCCACCAAAACCCCCCAAATTAAAAGCATTTGCCATTGCTAAGTGTTCATACAGTGACTTCTGAAAAAATCACTTGAACAATTCCTAGCAATAAAATTGTGCGCTCCTGGATATATGTCTCCTGCACACTGCCCTAACATGGCATGTTTGTATGTAGTGACAGGACTTGCCGGGGAATTTTAATGGGTTGAGGCAGTGGTCACCCTTCTCAGGAACATGTGCAAGAAATAATGGGATTTAATCTTTACATGGAGGTACAAGTAGTCTGGGAATTTTGAAGGACTGAAGTTGCATCCTATGCAGCCAAAACACTTTGGAATTCAGGGCTTAAAACTGCAGATTGCAAAAGCTGTTGTTGTGTCTAATCTCATTCCCTACAAATGGGGAGTAACGTTTAACATATCGTCCGATCTAACTCAGGCAGCTGGGGAAGGAAGTGTGTATGTAGAGCTACATGGACATAATTTACATGTCTACTTCCGAGACATGGGCATGAATGAACATGTATGTGCACCATTCATGCTCGACCTTTAACTTGACCTTACATAAACGTGGTCCGGCTGACACCGAGCTGTTTGTTTCCAAGCTGTCTGGCACTGGCAATGCTAAAGTGCAAGTGTCTGCGCATGTAAAACAACTGAGTTAACACAACCAGAACACTACCAACTCATCAGCACTAAATATTACACTGAGATCTAGGGTGTAGGAGAACGTGCAATCTAGATTAAACAAGAATGCCCGTAAACTGAAGCCGATGTCCATGTCAGTCATTCAGGTCTCAGGACAGATTTCAAATGAGATTTTCTGTCAGCACGTGTTGCGCCAGAGCTTCATGACTTCGGGCAAGAGTGACCCAGACACGTACAAATGGTTTGAAAAGATGGACCATTCAGCAATCTATGTGGACTTCAGAAAGAATGAAAACTTGACACCAGATGTTTCAGTAACATAGTTTCTTCTGACAAACTTTGCAAATAAATTAAAGAGGGCTTTGCTAAGTTGGACCTGAACTTTGAAGATGTGTGGAGCATGGATAGCTTTAAATGATGTTTGCCAAGCTGGACAATACATCTTTATACTCAGTGGATGCATGCATGGTACGTTGTTCCTGAGATCAAGAAGTGGCTAGCAGCCAGTGGCCACTGGCTAGCGGCTGCCATAGGCTGTAGACTTACATGTTAATATTCAGCCATAGCCAAACAACTTGGACATGGCTTTGACTCCTTGTTCCCCCCATGTTTTGTGCCCAGAGCTACGTTCGAAGTGGGCCGAGTGGCATCCTTCCGCAGCTCCCGCAGTTCTGAGCCGGAAGTCGAAGTGAAGCTGGTAAGTCCCGACATCTCATGAATGATTCTCGATGCACTGTTTTACTGGGCTGTGAAAGAATGGGTCAACTGTACCACAGAATCAGGGTTCTTAGGTTGTCACATTTTGTTTGCTTTCAAAATAAAACAGTTATTTTGTGTTGAAATGATAGTTTGACATAATTGATTTAGCTCTTCATTTATAATATGTGCTAAGCTTTGTCACATTAACTTGTTGTATTCATAACTATGTTTTAGTTTTAAACAGTGCAAGATGCTTGTTTGATATTTTATTAAAAATGAAGCAACATTAGTTTTAAGATGTGTTCAAATTTGCCCTTTTTTGCTAAAACATGACATTGTGAACTTTCAAATTACATGAATGAACAGTGGAAATCACAGTTTTCTTTCTCGCGAATTGACATCCGTTACTAAGTTAACTTATAATTTTTGGGGGCTTAAATTCATCAATATTCACGTATTACCTCAGCAGAACAATGACCAATCAAGTGAAGAGGATTCGTCAGGTGGTAGCGCTAAGTCCAAATTGCTTGTAGGTCAAAGTGTCATCGTGCAATTTGCATGTTACTCACATCTGTTGATAGTTACAAGTTACTAATCCCTTCTAACGTCCAACACCTGCATGTGGAACTTTTTGTGTTTTGTGAAACTAACCATCCTGATGGAAATGTGAATTTAAAAGATGTGAGCTCCCGGTAATACTGAAGAGTTGTATTTTGTGCATGTGATGGAAATGTGTGCCTGTCAACAATCCATTCTAACAGGACTACTTTTGTCTGATTGCAGAGTTTTTGAAAAATGATTTGCATGATTGATTTTATTATTTTCGGTTAGCACCTCCCTGTTGCTTTCGTTTTAGAGAAAAAAAGTACACCAAAAAAAGAAAAAAAGATATTGGCATCAAATGAAACGGTAGAATTTACGGTGATTACAAACGGGGCTTGGCTTAGCTCGCATTCTTGGTTTTTATTAGTGTCACAAAGTTCCCCATCCCCCCCCCAGAAAAAAATCTTGGTTTGTACACGTACATCAGTATGTACAAATGGGAACAGAATCATTTTATGTCTTCGGGGATGTCCTGTCACATACCTACTGTGAGGCACCAGGTCAGATTCTGGGACAGCTTTTTGTCCCCTGGCATGCATTGGAACTGTGAGAGTTATCATTTCCACAAAGTATTCAAGCTGTGTATAGTGTTACGGTATAGTTGTCTTGGAGGCTTGCATCCACTACAGAGACAAACAGATCAGTTGTCTGTACCTTGTATGGAACAGTGGCAAAGGTTCAGTGGCATGTGAAATGCATACATGTATATGCATTACTGAGTGGCTCTTGGGCAGGGTCATTCTTTAGAAGGGGGCAGCATGTGTGTGCATTCAATTCATACATGTAGTTTTGCATATAAGGCAAAGGAAAAGTGGTGGTGTTGTACACCTACCTTTCGCCCTATGCCGACCTAGTTTGTTGGTATAAAACCCAGTTTGTGTATACAAATATGTACGTGTTGATGTACGGTTGAACAGGGGCCCATTTCATAGAGCTGCTTAAGCACAAAATTTGCTTAAGTGCGAGAAAACCTTGCTTGATAAATCAGGTAACCAGCCAAAACTCCATGTGATATATATTTTTTTGGGATTGTATTTAGCTGTTTTTTGGCTAGCATGACGATCAGATAGAGTTTTAGCTGGTAACCTTTGTTTACTAAGCAGAGTTTTTGTCCGCTTAAGCAAATTTTGTGCTTAAGCAGCTCTATGAAATTGGCTATGTCATAACTCATGCGTTGATGTCAGTGACATCCTTGGTGGAGTTATTGGTAGATGTGTAGCACCAATGCATGAATTGATTGCTGTTTATCCCCTCCCCACTGCCAACCACACGACACGCACCCCTGACCACACACATGCACGTGTACAGTATCTTTTCTCATTCCCCATCCCCCTGTCTCGGCAGTGGAAATCGGGCAGAGATTTGGTGCCATTTTACAGCAGGGTGAAAGTGCCTTGGCTCGAGGGTTCAGACTTTGGTCGTGAAAGTTAACCGGCGAAGGTTCTTGTGTCTGGTTCTTGTACTCTTGTGCACATGGACCATGCACGACTGTCATTGTCATATGGAATGGACCTGATTATAAACACAACGGTTTTAAGCTGTTGAGTGATCTTATGGGGAAGGGGGGTTGGACAACTTTGTCACTTTTTTCAAAGTGGATCTGACTTGTTACTGGACAATTTGTATATATTCCAATGTCAGGATATGGCCATTAGAATGTACATCTATCTAGACCATTTGGAAATGGCTTCAGTGCTTTCTGTGCATGCACCGTGTGCACAGCCATTCTGGGAGTCAAGTTGATGCTGCAGCATGCACTCTGTGGGATGTGGCAGAACTAAACTAGCCTTGAATCTAGACTCTCTGAAGTGTTGGTTTTTGTGATGTGTGAATAACCAGTTTTCATCTGAATGTGCACTACCCTTAAAGTGTCTTTACTTGGGCACAGGAGAGCAGTGGCATTTGGGGGTCCTTTAATGTGGAAACTTATGCAGAGAGTGCATAAAATTGTCTTTAGTTGCAATGGGGGCAGACGTCCTTGCCACATCTATGAAATGCTATCATTTCAGTGGTCGTACATGTATGTCCGACTCCAAAAATGGTAGACCGTCGTAGCTCTGTTATGTCATTCTGTAACGTACAGTCTGTACCTACATATATTTCCTTGGTGAACATTCTTTTTCCAATGGAACCTTCAGCCCTGTTAGATTTCCACCACTGCTCCTGCCCGAATGTAACTAATTTGTGTTGTGTGCCGTATGTGAACGTTTGCAAGTTTTTTAACATTTGTCACATAATTACGTCATTTGTCCCATTTCCATTGTTACCTTTCATAGAACACATAATGTACACCGTACATGTGGCAATAAGTCACAAGTTATTCTCATGATCAGTGGCTTTGACTGCAATATGTGACAAGTTCCTTGTTGACATGCTCAGTATTGAAAATTACATTGATAGTAACTCCAACAGTTTGTCACACAACACGGTCTTTTGTTTTCAGTGAACAGGTCACTATGAAACAAGTCACTAGCACATTGGTCCACAATTGTGACCTGTCACGACAAAATGACAGTAAAGTCCCATCCCACTCTTTCCTGTTTTGAGGGTTCAAAGTCATGTTGAAGTGGAGGTCAATTTTTGGGTTTTGTAATATTTAGAAAGGGAAACCTGTCTCATATCTAATTTCAAATATTTCGCAGGATCATATATTTAAAAATGTCATTTTCTCAGCAATTCCGACAATAGCATTATTCATGTCTGGTCAGAAATGGTGAAACAGTGTCGGGAACAAAGACAGGAAGCTGCCAGAATAATGTCACATTTTCACTTGATACTTTTTTACCCCACGTGTTCCACGTACATACCACTAGAAAAAAACCTCTTTTTCTGCTGAATTCAAATATACCAATATCTCAATTTTTGAAAATTCCAACTTTCAGCTCATTTTGTGGTGACAGGTCACAATTTTCTCACTCAAACTGATAATTTCCTAGAAATTTGAAACTGAAATTGGCTCCGTAATCTGAATAACATTTCAATTTTATGTGTCATCACATTTTAATGTATCAAGAACACCGGCAACACATTGAATTAAAACTCTCGTTTTGTTTGGTTTCCTCCCTCCACAGAAGAAGACTCCCACAAGGTGAGTTTCACTTTTTATGTGGTCACAAAAGTATTGTCATTTCTGTAAATCAAGCTCTGTTCATGTACACATCGTAGGCTCTTTCACTTTCTTGACTTGTGTGGAAACTTACATCGGCAATTCACCGCCATTCGTGCAAGTGCTACTTGCAGGCCATTGCTCACAATTTGAAGGTGCAGTGTGTACGCTGATCATTGAGGAAGTAACACACCGTTGCACACCCGTGCAGTCAGCACAAGCACGCGATATTGACTATTGTAATTTTTCATTCCATCGACAGGATGTCCAGAGAATCATGGGAAGACAAACAGGAGTTCAGTGAGGTGGAATTGAGATTGGAGGTATGGTCAAGCACTTGGTTTGTTTAAGCATTACATCGGTCGAGCACAATATGAAATGCTGACGATCGCAGATACAAAACAATTTGCCCTCGTGCGAGTTGATGCAGCAGAGGTACGAGCCAGGGCTGTCTCCAGGCTCTAACTAGATTTCACGCTTGCTTTCTTGGTGTACATGTCAATGGTGGGGCCAGTCAGCCAGATGTGCCTTTTACCCTCCACACAAAGGACTTTGAAGGATATGTACCTCATCAGCAAAGACTCTAAAAAGAGCAAATTGGAGGGTACCATTTGAACACCTGAGGATTCTTTTGGCAGCCCTTGGAGGGGGGTGCTTACCTCCGCTGTTGTAGTGTCTCTACAGCAAATCACAGGGCAGTCATGCCCGGTGAATATTTGAAGTGATTGGGAAGATGGAACGGAATGAGGATTAAAAACTGAAATTGTCATCACACTGTTCACAGTTCAGATATTTAGCGAGGAGTGATCTGAAAACTCTGCTTCTCTTGGGGGTTGAGTAGTGGCATTTACTCAGTGTTGTAGTTGAGAACTTTTCGAGTACCAAGTTTTGTGCCAAATATTTAACGCGTTTGGAGGGAACTAAGCTGGAGCACATGGGCATTTGATGGTAGATTTTTTTTTTTTGGTTGTTTGTCGCTATGCCCAGGCAATCCGCCTTAAGCGAGAGCAGGAGAATGAGGAGCGTTACAGGGAACGGCTGGAAGAGCGTCGCTTGGCCAAGGAGCGGAGTGAACTGCAGCGACAGGAACTGGAAGAACGCAGGGTATGTTGAGTCGCAACGGGCCTGAAATTGAGTTTCGAAAATGTCTAATCGTTAATCTCCTGCTCACTTTAATTGGGATCTTTGGGTGTTGAAGCTGTGAACTGGTAAAAAGGTTTTAGTGGAGGACAGTCTGAGCTGTATTTTGAGTGGCTCTATCAGCCGCCCTGGAAATGAGCTCTAAAACCTCACACTGTCAAAATTATGGCCAACTCTTAACCCAAGTTTTAGGTTTGAAAGCTTTAAAGCCAATAATTTCTTGGACAGTCTCAACAATATACAGAACGTTTACATGTTCTGCTCAGGGCCAGGACCCAGGATACAGCACTTTTTATATTATCAGGGAAGAACTGGTTGTAAAAATGTTAAGGACTCCAGTCGTGCTCATGTGTATGTAGTTCTGATACAGCAAGATGAGGAAGTTTAAACAGTGACCGGACTTCGTGTAACTCATGCCAAACCTTGACCTTTTCACAGTGGTAATCAGTTTGAGTTCACCAATGTTAATCACATTGCTGGTTCAGAGAGTGAAATGATTTGACTGATTAAAGGTTGGATGTCCCCGGTTGCACTGCGGAAAACTGGGACAGTTGAGTTTTTAAGATTGAGTTTGATTACTGTTCAGCAACAGTTCACTAGGACGTTGGCAGGCTTGTACACATTTGAACATGTGCGTTCCTAGCCGAACACCATGTAAGCAATAGTTGTCGAGGAAAATAGACCCAGCACAGATTTTTTTGGACCACATTTTTATTTTCCACTGTTCCACAGGGCTTAGCCAAGTGCATTGGGGATACTGCTTTGGGCAATATCCCGACAGGGGATGTGTTGTAGCCATTAAAACCGAGTGCCTTTTTCCTGTTACAGGAGCGACGTCGGCTGAAGCAAGAAGCAGAGGAGCGGCGTCAGCAGCAAGAGGAGGAAGAGAGGCGGGCCCGTGAAGCTGTGAGTGATTCTCAGTAAAACACACTGTCGAGTCCTTCTTTTCTGGTCTCATTCCCTGCCACAGATAGTACTCCAACGCAGACTTGTATACTAAGACTTGAGACACCAGGACTTAGACTTCAGTACCTTGACTCTGATGTAGACTTGGCTTTAGAACACTAGATTTGGGATTGGAATACTAGCACTCAGACTCAAAGACATACTCTTGGACTGTGACTCCGACTCTGTCTTGGACACCAGGGCCATTTTTTAGTACTCGACTTTGCCTGCGTTTCAGGTTTTGTCAGGTGATGAAATAGCAAAGATGAAGCCTGAGATGGAGACAAAAATGAGCATTGGTAAGTGGCTCAAAGCCTGGGACTGGACTTGAATCAACAAGTGCCAAGAGTAAATCTTGGGTTTGATTTTAGAGTGGGCAACCTTGCCTTGGATATAAGAACTTAAACTCAGACTCATTAGACAACAGAGCTCAGACTCATTAGACAACAGAGCTCAGACTCGTCAGACAACAGAGCTCAGACTCGTCAGACTCCAGAGTATGAGATATGAATACCAGACTGCGGCTCATACTTGGCCTTGGATGTCTGAACTTGATCTCAAAACTAGAACCTGGATGTGACCTCAAAAACAGACCCCAGACTGGAACACTTGGACTGTGATGTGGCCTTTGGAAATCAGAACTCAAGACTCGGACTCAATTAAACAAGGATGTGTATTGAACTTCATATTTAGACTTGGCCTCAGAAACTCAGACTCAGACTTGGACACAGCGAGGTCAGACTCCAAGAGGGTGAACTCGGCTACAGCACTGGTCCAAAGGTCCACCAGCAAACTGTTTCAATACTGGTGTGTTGCTGTGATTCTTGGTACATTGCAATCATTTCAAGGCATTATCCTTTGCAGGAGGAAGCGAGGAAGTTGAGGGAGGAGATTCAGAAGCGCCGGCAGGAGGCAGAAGAGCGCCGTCGCAACATCCAGAACTCCCTGAGCTACATTCGCCCCAAATACAACATCTCGGTACGATGCTAGACATTGGACACTAAGGCTTAGATGACAAGTTGGACCACTTGCATAACATTCCCTAATCTGAACTAGAAACGTTAAACTCTTAACCACTCGGATGTGAGAAAAGTTAACTTTTTTCAGATGTAGATTGAAGGTCCATCCCCTTTTGAATATCAAGAAGAGACTGAGGCGAAGGCCCCACCCCCTAAAAAAGAAGAAGTGTAGGAACAGCTATGTGTAGGGAGGTCTGTAGAACCAGTAAACCTGATAAATCCAACCCTTCCCTCCCATCAAAACATAAATGTCACCACACTGTTGACAGTGAACCGGTTTGGTATTTCAAAAGTGCATATCTGTAATGAAGTGCCTCCGAGGTCATTCAAGAGCAACACTGTGCGCGAGATGAGGTCTGTCCTGTCAGCACTGTCGTATGTTGACTGGCACACTTGCTTTGTTCTCCTGTGACCTCCGTCTTTTGGAACACAGACCTGGGTCAGTGTGTGTTGGCCCTCTCGATGTCCACGGTCGTTGGTCATTTCCTCCCCACCAATTTCTCTCTCCATCTCTCTCTCTTTCTCTCTCTGTATTTGTCGTTCCAGGACAGCATCCTGCAGGCTGAGAGGGAGAGGTCCATGACCCCCGAAGAGCAGGCTGAGCTGAAAGCCAGGACCCTGGAGGAGCAAGTGCCTCCACTGGACATCTCTGCTTTCACCAGCGCGGAGAGGCTGCGGGAGCTGGCAATGGACCTGCAGGTGGGTTGGACAGAAGTTGGACAAAAGATCTTCCATCTTGAGTGCTCCTCATTAATGATATTCACAGCTTGATGCTATCATGTGCACACTGGTTTGTGTAAACAATCTGGTGTATTGGCCACACTTAATGTCAGATGCCTCTTGATACCTGGATTTCGTCATTTGAAACACTCTAAGGCCCAACCATGGAGAGATATCTACTGTGAAGACAGGCCTTGTATGGAAACCAAGCTCTATTTAATACGATAGTCTACTTCAAAGATGCAGGTGCACAGCAAATGGGAAATTTGACAGTTTGACCAATTTGGGTACCCTCAGGCAGTAGACTTTGCCAGATAGTGTTCACACGTTCTCCGCAAAAATGTCGCCAGAATTCTTTGCAGAATTGCATGTCCCCGGGCATTTTCTGATTGAGCAGCCCACAATCCATGATTTTGGGGATAACTTTATGTAGTAAGCAAGATCACCTTTAGTCCTTTAGATGTGAATTAATTTACCTTTAGTCTGAATCTTACGGTCTCCTATCCACCTCCTAGGCCAAGCTGAGGAAGCTGTATGCCGCCAAGTTTGACCTCATGAAGCGTAAACAGCGCCAGGAGTATGATGTGAGTTGACCTTCAACCCTTGACCTCAGGGCACGCCCGTCTGAATCTCTTTGGGAGGGAAATTGATATTTTTTTTCCAATATCTGCAACCTGAGTTTTGTCCTTTGGTGAATTTTGGGATCTGTGTACATCCATTAATATGAACAATTAATTTGGAAAACAAAAATAACTTGATATCCCCCAAAGCCACAAAGTCGATCAAGATCCATGGAACCCTGTAAAAGAGTGTCTTAGAAATTCCCTTGCCTTGTTTGAAAATCCTTGAGAAAAAGTCCCCCAAATTTTTTAGGGTGGTGACAATTTTTTTGCTTTGCTGTGGAGTTTCAAGAAATGTAAGCACAGTTGTCATGTGGATTTGTTAATTAGCGTTGCTCTTCTGATCTAAGTGAGACGGCTTCAAAAGACCATTGGAATTGGAGTCACAAGTTGCGAGAATCTCTTTTCTGCCTAAAGGTCTTGAAAACAATCTTGCACCAGGGAAATCAGTAGGAGCCCTCAAGATGTTCATTCACATAATACCAATCTTCAGGAGGATGTCATACTAGGTCATAGGTCAAAATAAAGAGCTCAGTTTGCTCCATTTAATGAAAACATAAAACACAGTTACTGAACCAAATGGCCTCAAGACTCCTTTGGTGGGATCTTCTCATATACAGAAAGTTGTTTTAACTACGCATGCATTTGTCAAACTGTGTGTCTCGTCCTTGAACTCTATACCTTTCCTTGCATTTTTCTCTCAAGTTGACTGAACTGAATACAAGGATTGGAGACCTGACCAAAGCACCGTAAGAACCTTGTTTCTTGTTGACATTTTTGTTAACACTCTCCTCATTTGGATCTTACTTGAGGCTTACTTTGCAAAAATATGTTTTCGTTTAAGATGAATTATTTAATCCAGTCAAACTGGAGCTTCTTTTTCGTATTTTGTTTGTGCTTTTCAGTCCTCTAAAGAAAACCTACGTGACCACTTTCAAGTTTGGGTGAGTGCTTACTGAAATTATTTGTGACAGTGCAAGAATTTCAGATTTAGGGAATGTCATTACTCCACATTGCAGTTAAGGAAATTGCAGAATAAACTAAAGCTGCACTGCTGTTTGGAATGAGTATTTGCGTTGTTGGGTCATCGATTAGGATCTGAGTGCTCTGACAGCACTTGCAAGTGCTGAATATGTCCAAGTATTGGCGTAAAAACTGGATCACAAGTCAGAGTCTTTTTGTGCGTGGACCAATCTGAGGAGAAGCCATTATTGTGTTGGCACCAAGCTTGCGCTCGCGTTCGCAAATTTGAAGCGTGCGTGTCTTTTGGCAAGCCACAACAGCCTTGTTGGTTGAAGTGGTATGCAACATGTGCATGTGCATTCCACCTGCGTGCAACGGTTGTGCCAGCGCAGTCATAGCTTTCAATTCTGGTCGCAGAGTTAAAGATCCGTACCTTTCCCTATGTTCACGGTTTTCAGAACGCACGTAATAATAATGATGATAATCATTTTCCATATGGATATGTTCAAATGCGCTGTACAATGAAGACATTAAGTGTGGAACAATGAATACATTTAAACATGGTTGAGCCGATGGCATACAAGGGCGCCTCAGGCAGCCGCCAAACGACCCACATTCACCAACATCAGTAAAGGGGAGACAGTAAGAAGCAGTTACAGTTTTAGAGGTGGGAGGAAAACCCCAGAGGAATATTCTGGGTAAAACCCACAGAGTCAGGTAGGGACTGAAAACCCAATCCACATGTGGACCGGGCTGGGATTCGAACCCGGGACCACAGAGGTGGAAGGCGTGGAAAGAACTACCCTGCCAACCTGACTCCCCCGTCCAAACATTCAAGTTCTTGCTCATTCAAAGTATTCAGTCAGTACAGCCTGGATGTACAATGTTGTTCCTATTGTGCAAGATTTTATTACACAGTGCTTACTCAACTCCCAAAGGGACCCTGAACAACGTTTGGGAGAAACTTTCCAAAAGAAATGTTCCAAACAATAAGGCTAGCCATCCCGAGTTGATATTACTCAGCCATTGGCTGTTAGTCTCAAATTAAGCAAAAATGTGTGAAATGCTTTCCTGGTCCACAGACTTGTCAGCAAGATCAAGGAGAAGGGCGTCTTTGCTGAAGACAAGGTAAAAAAAAATTTGCAAGGAATGAATGGACAGGTGTAAGGTACATGTAGAAGCAAGGTGTGGGCATCTGTGCTTTGGTGTCGTGGTTGGGCGTGTTGAACTCAGGGACTTTGCAAGACCTTTTTTCTTTCAAAATTTCTTCCTTCCAACTGGGAGTAAGTAGGCACCTGTTTGGGCAGAGATGGTCGTCATAGTGTTTGCCTTCAAAACCCATTTGTACTGAAATGGCAGCATCAGGCTGTAGACTCCCAGTGTCTCTGAGGGGATGTGATAAATTTTTTTTTCCATGGGCCTGATAAGTGAGGGCACAGAAGATGCACCTTGAGCAACAATGTGACAGGTGTTTTTTTTTTTACGTCTTACAAGTCAGCAGTATTGCTGTTAGGCGTAGGTGCTTTAAAATTCATGCATTTGAAATCTTTTCCTGTGAAGGCTCGCAATGAATCATTCCGCACTCGTTGTCATTGAAGACAAATCTGTTTTTGTGCAAAGATCAGGAGTGCCGTGAGTGGGAAATGCAATTTCAGTGTGAAACTCGCCTTGTTGTTTCGTTTGTTGATGACAGCCACTGAGGAAGACATTCCCTCAGGAGCGCAACGAGGGTAAAGTGGCCGGCAGTGGGATGCAGGATCGCCTGAACATGTTCCAGAACAAAACGGATCACAGTGAGGACCAACCGGACATCAAAAGGGTGAGGACAGCGTCAAGAAATCACCCCGAGTCCTCAGGCACTCTTGCTTGGAAGCTCCGTGAAACCTCCAAAATCCTCTTGCTTACAGGAAGCCATTCATGTACACGTTTGTGCTTGCACTGCCCATGGACTATAGCGGAAACAAAATTGTACTCTTAAACATTTGAAAATCATTTGGCATCCTGTGCGGTTGATCTTATAAAAAATTGCAAAGTAAGTCAGGGAGGTTTCCCCAAATCTCAGCAAACTTTATTTTTAAGCTTCAGCCTTCAGTTTTCAGAGAATTAGTTCCTCAGAGTTGAAACCCTTAAGCTCATCGCAGCTCAATTTGCCTCTGCAGAAATGTCCGTTTGATTAATATGAGACCAAGACTTGGAGTGTGGTTTTACTTGGCATTTACAGTAAGTGTTTGAAAGTCGGTTGAGAAGCTCAAGATGAAGGCATTCGCAGAGACTAAGCCAAATTATGCCCAACGCTTCATTTGTGAGGAAGGTGACTTATTTCATGAGCCGGCCATGTTGAATTGAACTTTCCATATTTGGAACCTGAGAGTAAAAATGAGAGCAATGGAACAAAATTCCATTACAAAATAATGCCAGTTTATGTTAAAGAATGATTTTAATTATAAATAATAGTCATCTCTAATTGTTTCAGCCACATTAAAGAAAAATTGGAAATGAGGCGTAATACCCATAATAGTCTGGCACCACCCCATTTAACAGATTTCATTTCAACAGGACAGAGTCAGGGAAGTGGATCCAATATGGCTTCCCTGTGAAGAAGGGTCTGCTAGAACGCCCAGTGGCACACTATTGAAGTGTTAACATATGCTCATATCGTTATATTTTGTAACCCTCTAGTCTGGCCGATCCACCTGGAAGGCGCCGGCACACGACAAGTGCTGCATCTGCGACAAGAGCGTCTACACCCTGGAACGCCTAGAGGTGGCCAAGAAGATCTACCACAAGCAGTGCTTCAAGTGCCAGTACTGCAAGAAAATCACCAGGTGAGATCTCTGGCTGTACTGCTAAAATGCTCGTCAGGATGCTGTGGGGTTTGGTGGTGTCAAGTTCACCCACAGGCAGATTTATAAATCCTCATAGCTGTGCTGGACAAAGCAGCCTCCTGTGCATATTTGAGAAGTGAAAATTCTTCCTCCGGGTCATTCCATCCAAGCAGTCCTTATGTACGTGGTTTTTTAACAGACACTGGTCTGTCGCTTCAGTTGTGGCTAAAACATGTGAACGTTGTATTCATGGGTCCTTTGAAACCACTAGATAGGGAACGAAAAAACTCTCCGTGTCTTCACGTGAACCAGTGGCCTGAGGGCGGCCATTTTATTACCCACACTGCAACTTTGTAACTTGCTGAACATACAGTTGATGTCGCGTAGTAAATGCATGGGCATGTCAAAGGCAGGGAGGTGGCATAGTTCCTGAAATTGCCCCCTTAACTTGAATATATCCTCCCCATCCAGTTTGTCCGAATACGCCGTGTTTGAAGGCAAGATCTACTGCAAACCTCACCAGCTCAAGGTGGAACAGGAGAGCCTTCGACACGGCGTCACACCCCGTCACTAGGGATGTGCACTCGCTCCCTCGAAGACCAAGGACTGAAAAGACTCGGCGCTTTCTTCCGATGTGCGATCTGTGAGGTCGTCTTGTGCTCCCCATCCACTGTTCACCTCTCTGTGTTTCCAACTTTGACAGTTATAAGGAAACTCATTCTTCACAATGTTTTAACCCTAAAAGAGCCGGACTATTATGGACCATCTCATGGCCAGGGGAGGGGGGGGCAGAACAACTCCCCCCCAAAAACTAAACTTGCATGCGTGTAGAGCTACTCATAATCGGTGTAGATGTTAAGTTTCAACTCAATCCAACGCAGAGGTTCGTGGTTTTGGTAATTTGAATTTCAAGGCTGCACTTATGCCAGCCTGGGTACATTGAGCATGCTAGTAGAAAAATATGTTTTGGGCTGAACTGTCTTGGACATACAGTGGTATGTCCAGTTTTCACACAATCGGTGTCAAAATGACCGCAAGAACTTGCTGAAAAAACTCCCGAGGGCTCAGCAGCTGAAAAAAAAGTTGAGCCCCCCTCCCCCCCTGGCTCTGTTAGGATTGAAGAAGAATCGACTGAAAATAATCACATGGAATCTTTCACACCTCGGGACAAACTGAACTTAAGTTACCTCTTGTATGTGAACATCTGTTTGGGAAGGCACTGTGCCTCACAGGTAACCTCGCGCAGAGGAAAAGCTTAGAAACCCACGGCATTCATTAAGAAGTGGTAAGCTTAGACACTATGTAGGGGAAATACTTTAACCACTTCCTGCCGGGGCAGTTATCAATGTTGATGATGCTGGGGCGGGATGTTTATCATTTTTTTCCGTTTGCAAAATGTTTCAAAAATTCCTATCTTCATTTACTGCACACTAATACCCACACGAAGAATTGTCTGGGTCCCACTCTAGCCTGACAGACAAAATCTGTTGATACCCGGGTATTTCAGCCAGGCTTGAACAGTCTTTAGTTACAAGGAGACCCCGGCCACGCATATAAAGCATGCGTATCTAGATCCGGAATCCCCAGCAGGAAGTGGTCAATTACGCACATTGTACTCACACAGAACATAGTCGTAGAACTCTCTGTATGTGAAGTGATGCGCCTCGCAGACGTTTAATACTATGCGGATTACTTAGGGACCTTGCATTCCTCAGAGCGAAGTGTATCACCCGTTCTGCAACTCAAAAAATGCACCACATTGAACAGAAGCATTGCCTTTTTAGTTTGCCGGTATTAAAGTTTAACTTAGGTTTATGTTGCAGCTGCACGTTCTGATGTAGTAAGTGCAGTCTTTTTTTTTTAAAGTCATTTCAACGGCTGAGAACTTGGACCAAAAATTTTATTTTGTAGTATATGCAACTTACATGCCACATTGTAGCACCACCCCCGTACGTTTGCATGAGAGTGTCGATTACGCTATGTAGTAAATTGTACTCTGTAGACTGTATTTATAATTGGGTCATTCCACAAAGTTCGGGCACAGTTTGTGACAGCGTCCCTTGTTACACAGTGAAAATAAACATCTTTTTTCCCCTGCATGTGGATTCTAAATTGACGGTGTTCTAAATTTTGCTAGGTTCTTGTAGTGGCGTGCTTCATCTTTGCTGAATAATGTGACTTAATCTGTTGTAATGTGAAAATAAAGGGCAATAAAAGTTACCGATGTAGCAAGGGACGCTGTCACAAACTGTGCCCAAACTTCATGGAGTGACCCATTTACATTTTTCCAGATGCTGCAATGCTTTTTCAAGCTTTTCTACAGGTAGTACCTTTTACCATTTTTCGTGATCTTTAACCACTTTGTGCCGGGGGGCATTTATGAATGTTGATGATGCAGGGATGGGATAATTTTCTTTTTTTTTTCTGTTTTCGAAATACTTTAAAAATTTCTATCTTCATTTACTGGACACTTACACCCACACGGAGGACTGTCTGGTTTCTATTCTAATCTGACAGACAACATCTATTGGCGTTGGAGTATTTCAGTCAGGCCTGCCGCCTTGTAAAAAGAGCCCAGATTGTGTGGTGTTACAAAATTTTCTTTTGTTCACGAAACTAGCACAGTGCACTGCTGACTCTTTTCAATAAGGGCCAGATTAGCGTGCAGCGGTGCTGTGTGGCTCATCGCTGCAGTGGTGGAGCGCTTTGTCCCCGGTGGTAATCCGTTGCGCTAAATGCCTAAACCATGGTATACTGTTTCAAAAGAGGGCTGGATTATCTCCACTATTGAGATTTTAAAAATGTCAGTAATTCCCAGCAGCCTGGTCTTGTGTTATGAGTACGGTCTTTTGTTACAAAGCCCAGTTCCTTTTGTCCGAGTTTGGAGACCCCGGCCACGCACATAAAGAATACATGTCCGAAACCGGAATCCCTGGTGGCAAGTGGTTAAACGTTCATATTTTTTCACCACATACATGTAGAAAGCCTTGTCTGTCATTTTAATTTGAATAGTGGCATTTTAAAGAAAACTCGGTGTTGTTTTTTCCAAAGAATTACCATTCGTTAGCTTCAAGCCGTCATAATTGCATTAGATATCACAGAAGTGTTTCAGTAGCAATTATCTTCCACGACACCTGACAAAATACCAACTGTAATGGAATGCAGTACTGAAATCCTCCAGTGTTTCTGTACAGTGTACCTTCAGGGCATCTTGTGCCAGTGGAATCCGAGAGTTTGCTCAATGTGAATTTGAAATGCAGAACAAAAAATGTGGCCATTGTAGAAAGAACGTTACATTCCAAAGCCTTAAAGAAGCTTAGAGCATTGTAAGCCCTAATATTGGACTCATTCAGTCAGATGAAAGATTTTGTATAAAAGTGTTAAGTGTTAAGAAACTGCATTCGCCCTTGTAAGGATTCTGTGACCATTGTCTCAGAAAAAAATCAATATAAGAGATATGTGCTGCATAACCTGGTCCCAAGATTTGGAATTTGTTTTTCCCTGAATTGATTCATTTGAAATGCTTGACAACTTGTGACTGCATCAAGTCATTTTTTCCAAAAGAGAAAATGTTGGAAAGAAACTTTTGTGCTATTAAAAAGCCGATGAGTGAACACCAGTGAGCCAGTCACAACCAGTATACCAACATAAGACATCCAGTCTGAATTTTAAGTCACAAGCCATTCAGATGAACTGCCACAAAACATTCTTTTTTCTCTGTTACTTGTGACTGGTCTTGCAGCTGGTCATGTGTGTGTGTGGTCTTGTGTCTGGTCTTGTGTCTGGTCATGTGTGTGGTCTTGTGTCTGGTCTTGTGACTGGTCTTGTGTTTGGTCTCATGTCTGGTCTTGTAAATGGTTCTGACTACAATATTGTTGTGTACATCATGTGGCATCTTGGAGGGACACCTTTTCTGGTGAGCAAATATTTCCCATGCTGAGGAAATTTCTGTGCTTAGCCGAACTGTTAAATTGGCCTCTTGGACCTGTTGATGCACTGTGTTGACAGATCTATTGAAGAGAGTACTGTTGTGCAGTACAGGTATGTGGCCTAGCTTGTTCATATAGGTGGTTTATTCATGTACACAGTTCATTAGACCTTTCACACTGGACAAATCTTAAGGTTGACGCAGGGTGGTAAACTGACGATTCACACTTGAAGATTTTCAACCCCGTGTCAAGCCTGCATCAACCCCGAGATTGACGTCAACCCAAGTTGGAGACTCTCAACCCTGACCCGGACCGGGGTTGAGATTTGTTCCACCCAGGTTGAAAATCGTTGGTGCTCATCTCTGGGTCAATCTTGCGCAGATAAGCTCCATTTGCACAAAACAAGTGTGAAACAGTGCGGGGTTGAAAAATCGAATTTCCAACCAAGGGGGGGTCATGAGTTCACCCAGGGTTGTGTTCAGCTCGGGTTGAGAAGCTGTAGGGTGAAAAGTGCCCACTGATAATCACAATGCTGGTTGAGGCAGGGTTGCAGTCCAGTCTTTTCCAAAGCCCTTAAGTAAGCCTAATACTGCCGGTCTTTGTTGGCTGCTGTACCGTGTCCGGGTGCTGGACACACAGCCAGGGATACATATTTGCAATCCTGTTCAGGCTCAAAATCTAGGACAGTCTCCCGTGTTGTATTTGTTTAAAAACAATATGCATTTCGTTAACATTTAACAAATAAAACAACTCTATAGAATAGAATTTTAACAACAAATGCATCCATTTCTTAACGTGGTAACATGTCAAACTCTTTCAAAACAGTAAAACATTCTTTGAAGATAGATATAAGAAATTACGCATTCCAAAGTTTAAATGCAATTCTCTTAGTCAAGTTTCTATTCACAGCTATGCATTTTGATAACTATTTTTGTAGTTTTGTACTGTTTTATACCTTTAACCCCTAGTTTCTTGTTAGTATGATATATACTACACATGCAGTATACGCTAATAAATCAGCTCATTTATTGAAAAAAAAATTGTTTGGAATTGTTTCAATTTAAAGTTAAAGATGTTTCATTAGTGTCAGCATGAGGCAAAATGAAAATTGACCATAGAATTGTGGAATTGCCGGAATGACTCAAGTAATTCATATACCATATGATATTTGATAGCGGTCGGCATTCTTTCCAGGGCATTTATGTGTAGGTATAGGCTGAAATTTCACTTTAGGAAAGCACTCACAAATGATGGAAATGATCTTCAATTTCGTAAACCTTAATCTCTACAAAAACTTGAGAAACGTCTGAACTCATTTCATGATATCAAGAGTGTTTACACGAGGACACCTACAACGAAGCAAGTACTGTGTATTCGGGACACATTTTCATGAAGATGAAGACATCAGAATTACATCTTTTTTACTGCTTTACAGGACTTGCTTTTGAAAGGATTCAACACTTCAAATAACACTGACACCTTTATCTGAAAACTTGAAAGTGTCTGGAAAACACGGCAAAAAGGCCAAGTTTTTAGAATGTACAGTTAAAAATGGCAACAATTTTAAAAGTCACAGTATTTGAACACAGAAGTGAATAATATTAACCCACACTACTTGGGAATAAATCAGTCATCAACATCAAGTAATTAGCATTCAATTTAAATAACAATGATGGTAAATATAAATTGAAGTTTTCAATGTAGAGGAAGACAACCATGTGTGTTCTTCATTGACGTAAATATTTGTCAAATGTTGGTACTTTTTACAACTTCTAACTCTTAATTCTAAATTCCTCGGTCATAGTTATTCTGGAATTCATAAATGAACACCCTCAGCACTGCTAACACACTCTCAAACTTCCGGAACGTCCAGGTCAAAAACTCATGAAAAAAGGTGAGAAAAATGAGTCATACCTGGATTTCACTCTTCACAACCGACAGTCTTGCCAGGAGTATTGGCACTGACCTCTGACATGACTTTCTTGGCCGCACTGCCCTCGTCATTCTCTGCACCTTCCAAGGGACGCTTGCGTTCTTGGTCCTGGACCTCCTCAACTTGGGGTTTGTTTTGTGGCAATCCACCCTCCTCATCTAGCTCTTGGGTGTCATGATCAAGGGACTTCTCTGCTTCCTCTGGGATGGACGCTTGGGATCCTCCCTTGGCCTGGTCTCCAGAAGTCGCCTCATCCTCTGGAGAACAAACCCTTATCAAGTTACCCAGGTCTTCTCAACTTTGCATGGTACTCTGGCATTAAGTAAAGTCATGGGTCTTGAGAAGGCCCCCCCCCCCGAGAAATATTTATGGACAACAATGGGAAAATACCTCGGAAATGAGCCCCAACCAACAAATGCTTTCTCTGTTTGCTAGTGCTGAGTAATTCCCTCCCCCCAAGAAATATCTTGCCCCTCCCTCAGAGAAAAATCCTGGCAACGCCCACGCCCAAGGCAAGAGTTTTGATTGAGACAAGCAGAAAAAAATAGATGCCTCCTACTGATCTCAGGTATTTCTTACACGTTTTGAACACAAAATACCATCAACTATTCTGAAGTGTCAAGAACCGCCGTTCAAATCCAAGTGGGGAACTAATGCTGGCTTGATACTGCCCAACCTACTGGAATACTGTGGATCTTTGAGTTCACCAAATTCAGGAAAACAACGGCGGGTGGAACTCTTGTCAAGATCAGTCCTCATTATCTTGAAGTTAACAGACTTGTTCATTGCCTTCTACATCTATGCACCCATTGTTACCAGACTCTGTATTTTGCACGTACCACATCACTGTTTTTCAAGAATCAATTTTTAGGATTTACCAATATTAAGGATTTTCTAATGGTGAGCTAATCCCCGTAAATCTGCCACCATACCTGAATTTTAAGATCTTCAGTGTGTTAAAATTTCTATTGACATTTCCTGTTATGTCGGCGAAATGGAAAACAAAGTTCTTAAAAAGATACCTGGGCATTTAATTTGTTATAGTACTTGGGCGATTTGCCCATCACTGGCATATATTTACTAAACTTTACATTCAGTCTGAGGGCTTGTGGAAATTGATGAGCCTACTCAGGCGGGACTTGAACCCATGATCTGCTACTAACTACAGAGCAGATGTCTTGCTACTCGACCACTGAACCTGCTGGGGTTTGGCTGACCAGTTCACATCTCAAAAATTAACTTGGCTATTTTAAGCCTAAGGCTTGAACTATGCATTAACATTTCATATTTTAAGTGTATAATTGCTAGGTAAATTTGTCCAATGGTGCAACCAATTCTTATAATGGGCATATGAACTCAGACTTGACATGGAGTAACTGGCCTTCTTTTGGCTGTCTAGGAAAGTCTCGGCTATAGGTGGCAGTAACATGCCTCCATGGGAAAGTGGTCACAGCCGCTACACAGTGGCTTCCAGACTAGGCACATGTGTTATAGAGGGTTTGCATGGTGCCATCTTGCAGGCCAGTGCTTTTGTTTCACAGAGTATGCACAAAGGAGTTTTTTCCTGTGGAACAAAAGAACTGCCCTGCAAGATGGCTACCACGCAAAGCCTTTATACCCAGCCGTAACTATGACTTATATAGATGCAGCCTTATTTGGGACACTGGGTAAACCATTCGAAGGCTGCGGCTACCTTTGAGTTCAACAGTATCATTGGAATCTGAGTCGTCAGTCACCGTTGGCTTGTCTTCAGTGCAGCTTGCCTCCAGGGTTTCATCTGCTGACAATGCAGTAGACGACATTCCAGGGACCTCTTTCGCTGCCTCGGGCATGCAGGGTTCAGAGGCATTCTCACTAGCGGCATCTGGTAGATCGCCCACAGCTGGTTCAGCCATAGGTGCCGGATCAAGAGAGGCCTTATTCACTGGAGTTCTGGCCAAAGGAGATTTAGATTTTTAAGTGACCAATTTGCAACAATTTGTGGTGGTCATCAGACTTACTGTGGTAGGCCTATACATATTTGGCTTTGGCCTATGCATGGCATTGCCTAGCTAACGTTAGGCACTCATACACCAAGGTTCTTGGTTGTAAATGAAAGACAATGTAATAGTCTGAGTCATTAAGAGACACAAAAACTAGGCAGTTTAGGCCTAGGCCTATCGATAAATATGATAAAAATTTTGATAAAACTGGGGAAAATTACTGGACAGGGGACAAGAATGAGAATGTAGGCTTGGAAAAATTGAAAAATAATTTGGTGCTGATATACAAATAATGTCTAATTTAGGCATGTTAGGCCTAACGTTCTGCCTAAACGAATTCTTCAGAGCATTGCAGACTGAAACTAAGAGACCCTTGGCCTACGGTAGGCCCCCTAAAAATTACTTGTAACGTTAGACCTAGGCCTGAAGATGTTGGCCTGTGTAGACCAATGTTAAGCCTATATAGGCCTAGGCTAGGCCTGAAACTAAGCTGGTAAGGCCTGTTAATGTTACTGAGCTAACAGTAACAATAAGCATGTTTGATAATTAACCAATTGCCCTAGCCATGCCAGCCCAGGTCTGATCACAGTCTGATGTAAACTTTGACGCAAAGCTTAACGTTAAGGCCTTGCCTTCTGCATTCAGTAGGCTATAGCCCTAGCATGCCTAGGCCTAGTTTTTAGGCCTAGTACTACTAGTACTAGCCTAGTATTAGTAAGCAGTACTACCTAGTCACATGAGTAGGCCTAGCCCTAATGATTACATTAGCATTAGGCCCTAAGCCTACCATTATTACACAGGCCTCCCCCTCGTCCTGTCTTTGATCAGCTTACCTGGAACGATTCTTTTTTGCCATAAGTGCTTCGAAGTCCAGGTTCGACAAATGAGGAAGGGCAAGCTAGCTAGTGAATGGTGGAGTTGAAAATGTCCACTGAATGTAGGCCTGCTGTGTATAATGCACAGTCAGATCGCTGAACCAAAAACAAGGCCTGACGTTTTTTGGGCCAAGTGACACAATGTTTACCACGTTAAACTTGTAGAAATGTAGCCTAACTGCGCAAGGATGGCTCGAGTGTAAGTGAAGACTTTAATGAAGGTTTAACCTTCTCAAGCAAAATAATTAAAGTTAGCCTACGTGTCAATGTTTTTGCGGTCGCGTGACGGAAACTGATATAGCCTTGGTGCGTGATGGTACATGGTATAGGCTCAGGCATAGGCTCCTGCGAGTACACTTTTCGCATTTTGCATGCACAGTTCCGGTTCCCGCGATTTGCAGTTGTAGGTCACCGAAGGTCAACACTAGCAGTTCGGGTAGCCAATCAAGTTGCCCAAAAGTTTTGTGAATTTTTGCATTTTACTATGGACGGCCAACCGTAAAAAATAAAAGAAGTGAAATGTGTTGCTAATGGTTAAAAACAAATAGCCCCCAATTTCACAGTCGACAATCCAAAGAATAAAGGCCATATGCGTGGGTGATCCAGTTGGGAAGCCTGTTCAATTTTAATTAGTTCCTGGAAATTTATATGTATGACCATGTATGAACAATACGAATGGTTGTCTCTTCCAACAATGCGAAATTATCCGCTATTTATTGACCTAGGCGCCAAGGTTGCGCCACAAATAAATCCTGGAATTGTGCTACTCCATGCTTGACAAAACGGTAGCTTTTATGGTCAGCTTTGAATGGAAATTGTTATCATGACTCATTACTGTTGATCTACAGATACGAGAACTAGTGGACAGTGATTGCCGATTTCAAACCGAGAAGGATCAAATTTAAACAGCTTAAAATAAAGTGATGTCAGCAAGTTTGGGGCCCTGCCGTGCATAGGTTAAGCAAGGAAGAAAACAAAGCAGATTTCATAACCACCTGCAGCAACACCTTGGTCTCGACATTTGGCGATTGTTTTTGACGTCACACTGATCCTTCAATTTTTTTCTTACAAAATAATGGACAGGCATAAAATCGGGCGTTTCAGCGGAATCTTTGTGCTTGTAGGCCTGTGGATGCCGTGCAAACATGAACTTGGTCGCTGTGGTTGCCCTGACTTTTAGTCTTACCTTAACTGCTATCAAAGGTAAGAAAGTTGACTTTCTGTGCATGGAAAGAAGAATGACTATACAAAATGTTGCATCGACGGCTTCCTAAATGCCACTTGTAATAATATCTTTCTCTGCTGTCTGTATACCAATTTTGGTTGAAAAGGACCATTAAAAAATATTCTAGAGTGTTAATAAAGTGTTCCACAATTTGATGGTCATTTTAAATCTTCCTTTGGCCGTGCTGTTGTCTCCGTATTCATTCTGTCACTTCTGATTTTTTGATTTTTTTTCCTGCAGCCAATGACACTATATGCTACCTCGGCCAAGAACCCAGAGCTGATTCTACGGGTTTACTATGGTATCTCACCGTGGCACGCCCAACCGAGTGCACGGTTTATCGCTGGGGCGGCTTCAACGCGCAGACGCTCCTTACCACGCTGCGATACTCGACAACTATTGGCGGTGACCGAGAGGCGTCCAACCTGTGGGCCTCAAAGGATGGTATGTTGCCATAAAAATTCTACTGAGGCCTACTGTAATACCTTATTAATAAATGCGTAAAACTGCTCGTAGGACTACTTAAAATAAGTGTGTGATGCTTTACGCAATAATTTTTTCGAAGCTGCCTTGGAAGTAATTAGTATACTTGACATTTCCAGTTAGTCCAACTTTATACCTTGTAAACCGTGCCAAGCCAAAAACAGAATTGGTTATCATTTCCAAGAAATTTTCCCAGTATTTCATCCTACGCATGAAAAATGTCTTTTGAAAAGAAGTTTCACATTAAATTGTTGTTCATCATAATATAAGTTATAAGCTAAATGATCTCTGTAGTGACCCATTGCATCACGAAAAACTGCCCCCTACGATATGAATTCGATGTTAAAAAACGCCCCTCGCACTTCATTGTTACACTATCTACATATACATCGATAAAACAGTGTTCGTCACATAATATACATCTGACGGGGTGTACAGGCCTTCTAACCTTAAGGCATTCATTCGGAATTGTGTTTTTTTTGGGGGGGGGGATATGAAATTATTCATGTTGGTTCGTCAATTTTCATGTTCATGTAAGCAACCTTTGCCAACGAAAATCACAGGCGCATGCGTTTATATTTCACCACAGAAAGGTCCATCTACCGTCGTAGAACGAGGCCCTGTACTTCAATCGACACACACTCTGGAGAGTGGTTTGGTCCGTACCCTAACCAAAGCCATTTCAGCTCGTCTTTCGATCAATTCGCATTCGCTGTGGAGACGTCTGATCATTTCACGGTACGCTTCTCTACTATCATTGGCAGCAAAGTATACATCGGTGAGTTTCGTGTACAAGGCTCATGTTTTCTGCTGAGGGTTTAACTTCATTTTTCAATAATGAAATTATATACAAAAACCATTTAGTGAAATGTATGCGAGACGATGCAAGACATAATGCATAGTTATGCGCGGTGATAATGGACGGACACACTCAGAGAGTCCCTGTATGTTGTTTATTTTTCCGAAGAGTTTTAGTGGAAGTATAGTGTTGGGTCCCATGTGATCGCAATATGTGTACAATGTTTGACGTATAATTTTATGTAATTCACTGTGATAGTGCCCTCCCTTGATGCATACCAGCCCTAAAGGCCGCGATTCGACTTGGAACCTACACCATACTGAAAGCTTATTTAATTCAAGAACTGGATTTGACTTGTAACCAAATTCTCCGCTAAAATCCAAATTGAACCTGTACAAAAATCCGATGATAAAGTAAATTTTTGTGGTACATTACTCTAAGCTGTCAGCGAATTACAGTCTGTGATCTACCAAAGTAGCTGGAGAGCGTTTGATGAAAAACTTGCACAAGGAGTCGGTGGGCAATTCCCCGGCCTGTTCTGGGTCGAGTGCGGTGACGGTAAGCTTGATGTGAGAGGGGATGGAAACCAGCAGACGTCCTTCCTTCATCTGGAGGACGATAGTGGTCTTCTTCGTAACATCTCGCACGTTGAGTTGTCGGGTCCGGCCAAGTGGCAGATCTTTAGCCCATGTTAGCTGTGGCGTGTCAGCACGTCTGGGGTCGTTTTAGTACCTTTTGATGTAGGGTCGAGGGCAAATCCCCGATAAACATCGCTGTCCACTCACTAAAGTGAAGTTTCTGCACTCCTCGCAACATCTTGCATTAAGATAATAACCATTAGAATATTTGTTATGTTCATTGAAAAAGGGCAGGTAAATGTTATGCGGGCTAAAATGAACGGCCGGCCTTGTTAAATTATTATATGGGCATCATGAACGTACATAACATACGAAGTGTGGGTATTATTGTGATTTTGATATAGTCATCCTCGATATACGATAAAAACCGGTTTCGGTCTCATAACGACGTGTCAGCTTCTTATGAACGAGAAATCTAATGCAGTTCAAGAGATGCAAAAAGTATGGTGATCTTTTCTTTAGACGTCCAAATGGTTAGACATTTTTGTGGTATTTTACCGGTACCAAAATGTAGAATTGTATTTCTTCAACAAAATATCTTGTAAGACTTCTATGTTAAAGTAACACGTATTCGTGACAACAGTTTGACAATCAGCGTACAATGCTGAGACATGCGCATTGTGGATTGAGACAGTGCAGTTTTCAGCAGGTCAAGATCTTACATGACACCGATTAAGAAGCCAGTAGCACTGAACTTACGCGTCGGGTTTTCTTATCTCAAATCATCCTTCCTGTGTACTCTAATAATACATGGAGTTTTTGGTTATTGTAGAATGCTTGTTTGTGTTTTGTTTCAGTCTTAGACTACTATGGGTCTATTTTATTATATGTATGAATCGTTGACAGAATCAAACTTCACATTGGCAATTTGTAATCTGATAAGTCCACGGGCGGAGGGGATCGGGGATATCCCCCACCCCCACTTTTGACGGGGGGGGGGTACCAATACAATCACCCCCTACACACACACTTCAAGTTTTAAGTCACTGACTATGCGCCACGCTGAAATCACCCCCACCCCTATATTTGACCAGAAATATCCGCCCATGGATTAGTTTCATTCTAAACGGTAACGGTGTTACTGGTGTGTATCACTGATCATGCTGTATATTTAAAAGCATTTGAAAATCCAGAAGAAATGCTACCAGGGCCGCTGTAGAGTTTATACACGGTAGCCATCTTCCCGGTCGGTGTTTTTGCTCCATTGGGATAAACATGAGTAGACCGTTTGGGCATCCCCTCCCGAAGCACTAACTGGGAAGATGGCTGACCTCCATAACCTCCACAAGTTAATACGATTCTGGGAAATTTTTCTTTTCAATATTTGTGTCGGACGCACTCCATCGAATACGGTGTTTAGGTTTCTTCTTTGTCGAGCAAGCCGGAAACATTGGAAACAAGAGGCAAGGATTAAAGATTTCCACTGTACTTTCAAATAACTGAATATACAGTAAGGCAGTAGAAAAAAAAAGACAACATCCAGAATTGAAGTTGTTAAATGTAAAAACGAAGCAGGGGGAGGAAAATATTGAAAGTGGTCATTAAAAAGGATGAATGTACCTTAACACTGGAACTGCTATTTCTTTGGACTGAAGTTTTGACCGCTTTCGAACAGACTATTCAAGGAACCAAAAATAATCCTGCGTGCGCAATGTTACGCTAGGGAGGGGACATAATTAATTGGGAGTCGGAGAAGGGCGGATCGGAAGTGGAGCGGGAACACAGAAGCCAATCCAACGCCCCAAAAGGGATTTTTTTCCAAAAATAATGAAAACAGGCGATTTGTTTAATGCTCCATTTCCTTTCCTCCCAAAAGTGTGAAGGCCCCCAAATTTACCCCCATTCCTCAGAAAGGGTGTAAGTCACACCGAAAAGAAACTCCAAATTCCTCCACCCCCGCAACAAAATGGCAAAATTGATTATAGATCCGCATCCAGTTTTCTGTAGGCCTAAACCAGCGTCTTAGACATTCGTTCAAACCCAAGGTCAGCGCTAAAATAAACAATCCCAAGCGAGCCAAACGCGTCTCAAAATATTCATAAGCATTTAACTTTATTGTTCTGATGTGCCCCCTAGCTAGTGCTAAAAGGTTACGTGAAAAGAAATCTAAATTTTTGCCCCCCCTCCTCAAAGTGTCCCCCTAAAAAATAGGTTTGGATCCTCTCTGATATTTTGTGTTGAGCTACATGGATTACAACTTTTCATATTAAACCCAGCAATGCTGCTTCGTCTGCTCAGAAAAGCCACTTACAATAAATTACGGCATTTCATTTTTGAAAAAGTAGGGCCTAACTCTCAATCTCGACGAGTGGATTAATGTGTGGCAGAGAAATATTAAATCTTTTGCTATTTCTCTCTCCTTTTACAATGAGAAATCAATTTCATTGTCCTTAAAGTCTGAATTGGATCACAACTGCCTAAGGAAAAATCATTATGAAGCCGAGAGATTCTCGCCCTTGACGGAGTTATTAACCTGCTTCTCGTTTAATAGCCGTGGACCTTGAAGTCTAAATCAAGCAGGACAGACACTGTGTAATTTGGGTTTTTCAATAAACCAAGATCATTCGGGAACAAAGCATGCGTGCGAATCAGCGTAGGGCTGGCCCGCGCTACGCTACCAGTGAAGACCACAGAATTGTATTAAATTGCAACGGGTAGACGTCGCACACGCTTCTCTAGTTCGAATATTATCATTTTTCGTGGATGGTGGTACCACCACAGAAATTATAACGCGCCTTTACAATGTATCTGGGTACCATACATCCAAGCTCAGAGGAAATTGAAGCATCAGTGATCTCCATGAGTTTTGATATAGCTGCATTGAGTCTACTGTAAATATAAATTAATATCGCGTTTGCCGACATAGATTAACACCCATTTATACAATACCCATTTCTTGTGCTCAATGTTATCCTTGAAATTGTTTAACATATCCTGAAATCAGCCACATCCTGACGAAAAAAAAATCCTGAAATTGGACAAAAATCTCTATAAATCTCATCCCTGAACCAAGTTTAAAAAATAATAATAAAATAAATAATGCAGTGACTACACCTTCATACAGGCTTGGTTTATTCTCTATGGCTCTTGAACGTAACGGTACACTATTCAACAGTCGCTATACACTGTAATTATTTCTTCATATCACACGATTCTAACCATGTTCTAATTTACGTAGATTCATTCAACTTTTAACCACTCATGAAACATTCCTTTGCAATCCTTGTCCAGACGTAATGAAAAGGGTTCTTTTTCAAAAGCTTGGGGTTTTCACGCACAACGAAATTTGTTACCTCGGAAAAAAATCTAACGTTAAAACTTATAAATTAAAAGAACATTTATCAACATATATTCACGCATTTTCTCAATGACTGCTGAGTTGACTCACAGAATTAATCAACAGTGGACGAGGCCATCTGCAGTTGTTCCCGGTAGTCAAATTTGGGCGCAGTCCAACAAACTTTTGCTTGCATATTGCCACTTTCTTCCCTGGTGCCCACTGCCGAGCATAATGGTACCCATCCAAGGCACATACATTCCCACAAGTGTTTAATCTCCCTGGGTTATATTACATCGTCTTTGAGCACAAATTAAAATTTGACAGATCATATTAATTTATGTAAATCAAAGGGCAGAGAATGTATTTGTAGTACATAAAACACAACCAAAGTAGTCCTTATTTTAACGCCATAAAAAAGCTCCAATCCACAACATTCCTCATTTTCTGTTCGAACATTTCACATCATGCGATGTACGCAACTGTTGCTCGGCCTCCCCGTTGGAGTGAACTGTATGTTGACAAAATCGGCATTACTCGCCATGTACTTCGTGATCGCTGGTTACTGTGCAGTTAGCTTCCACCAATCACTGCTAGCAAGCTTCATGCATAAACAGCAGCTGTGCTTATTAACATAAAAGTAACAGCTGACCAACTACATGTATTCATGAAATACTACAGATTATTATCTGATAAAAAGTAATCACGATACACTTCGATACGTCAATGTCTTTGTTACATACAGAAATGTCGCAGAAAAGCAGGGCATGTGTAATTTCATTTCTGTCTTCTTTTGTAGCTAAACAAAATCTAAATTGCCACGAATTTGAAATCCGAAATGAAAAATAATTTGAGCCGATCAACAAAGTAGGGGCCTAACTTACAAATTCATATAGCAAAAGCTGAAAAAGGAAAATAAGCGAAAGATAAAATGTCAAGGTAAAATGGTAGCAGAAACAAAAGCAAAAATATAGTTTTCTTAAAATGAAAGAGGCGTCGGTAGAGGTATCTGACTAAGTTCTTTACATGCAGTTACAGACTAGGGGAAGTCTAGGCTCCAAGCCAAATGTCGCAATTCAATCAAATTCCAAAATGTCACCCAATCCTGACCTCCAACACGGCGGTTAACTTTGAAAAATGAATCGCTAAAAAATGAGGTGGGCTAGCTCAAACTATAATGAATACTGATGAATACTACATGACCCACTGCCCAACTATATCACAGTGTACTCTGATCATTTCTCCACTCTGTCCACATTACCCATTGGTCAAATTATGCTATAGGCTATTTATTTATTTATTTATTCCACTTCCAACAGCGACCAATCGCCAACCCCCCCCCCAAAAAAAGGAACCCTCCCATAACTATTACCTTCAATGCACACTTTTTTCTACTACGAAGAACCAGGCATATTTTACTGGGTGAGTTTCAACAGAAAAAAATCTCCCCCGCCGTTAGTTTATGGTAATTCCAGAAATTAGGGGTCCATTTTTTTCGTGTCCCAGTCACATCTGACTTGATTTTGTAAGTTCAGACCACACTTTCTAATCTCCACAAGTGATGGAATTAATGCAAATTACCTGCTAACTAAATAGCAATAGTTTGAAATCAATTCCGGTGATATTTCCATGTCAAATAACAAAGGTCAGATGTAACAGGGACATGAAAATGTCACACTTTTGGACCCCTCATGTCTGGAATTACCCTTATACGCTGTATTGCCACAAAAGCCTTAACTTCAGTTTGCATCTTACTACCACAGGCTTGAGTTCAGTGTCTCAATTTCATGAAATCAACCGAATTCTGTGGACGTAACAGCACTGGAACAAGTCATAAAATTATTCCTCAAAATGCAAGTCTTGCATTTCATAATCCACTGTGTTAACAAATACACACGACATGGGCATGCACTTTGTCTATACAGGTCTCAAAAAAAAAACACCATTATGTATTACACTACAAATGCACATGTACGTAAACAATTTAAAGTGGGCTAATAAATTAAAACTTTAACATATATAAGAGGAAAGTATATGCACACTTATCTCTTGTTACACTGAGCTGTTTAAAATCGGCATTTTAATTTTTTCGTCTTTGTTTTAAAATGGTTACTGGTTAAATAACATCACAAAATTTAATGTATAGTATTACAAGCAATACGACTCATAAATATTCATGAGCATGGATACTCATTGGTTAGAATGAAGCATTAAGTCACAAATGTGTAAAATGTGCTAGTATTAGAGCTACTGAAGGCTACAACTGTACACAGCTATTAATATTAAACCAACAAAAGAACTAGCCACTCCCAAGGAGTCTCATGAATATTCAACACATTGATATAAATAGTTTACTTTCTAAAAGTAGTAACACGTCCAAAACAGGGCAATGGCCCGGCCCACTCAATTTTTTTGTATCAAAAACTCCTCACAGAAACCTCCAGGAACAAATTCCCTCGAGAACTGAGAACAGCCCATGACAACAGACTCCATGGCAAAAAACCTGCCATGGTAAATATCATGACATAATGCCATAGCAAATCCCACTGCCCTCCAAAAAAAGGCAAAAAAAAAACCTATGGCTAAAAAACACTCAAGGCAAAAATCCCGAGATCAATCCCCATGACCTGAGAAACAAGCACCTCTGAATTGCACTCCTGAAGGAGTCAATCAACTCAAAAATGTAGTGTATCTGCCAGCATTTTCCTGTTAAAAAAGAACTTTCCTTGCAACAGTTTAAGCTCAGTCAATTGAAGAATTTGAGATAATGCTTGTACGTAAAAACAGACAGCGTCGGTGGAGTATGCATGGAACAAAGATCGACAGAAACATCACTGAACACCAGAATGGTCTGACATCAAAGGAACTTGACCAAAGGCGAGCCGTTTTCTTCTGAACTCGAACCCAAATTACTCTCTACTTTCTTGGCTACAGGAGCAACTCTACTGGTGAAACAGGCCGGGGATTAAGGTTATTGAAAACCAAGCACACTCCTGAAAAACAATCATCAAAGCAAAGAGAAAAATCAGTCGCAACGGGGATCATAGATTCAATGATGCACGGTGTTTTCCGGAACTGTGCCGCACCAGGGCACTTTTCCATTTGAAATGCAAAGATAACTTTTCCCACTTCAATGGGTTTTAGTCTCACGTTTTCACAATGAATGATACTGTTGTCTATGTTTGAAGTTAGGGCAATATAAGTCTTTCTTCATGAATGCCGGACCCAACTTGACTTGGATGCTCCATTACAAAAGCAATAAGCCTTTTACGAGTTAAATTTGAATAAAATCTGGTACACTTGGGTTCTTTAAACTCACGTGAACCTAACTTGAATTCTCCAAACCAAAGAGACTAAATGCAAGCTTTTGCATAGCGACCACCATCTCTGGAATGGACTGGTTCCTTATCCATTGACAACAGTGTATTGTTGCAAGGCGTCTCTTATGTAACTAAGCAAAAGCTTGCCCCGAATCACGACGTATAGCAACAGTGTCTTTAGTCTGGGGAATTCAAATTGTTACGTTTCTATGCAATCAGATAACACCATGTACCAGATTTTATTCAAATTTAACTTGCAAGTGGCTTACTGTGCGAGGAGAATGTGGAGAAAGTTGAAACTACTTTGTTGCACCTCAAGTGACAAGGTGCCAACTACAATGGCTGGGTTGGGTACTTGTAGACTTTATTCCTTGCGAAGAGCTAACGACGAGGGGCGGATTGAGGGGGTGGGGCATGGGAATGGCCAAGGAAGTAGGGTTCAAAGCCGCCTCACCTGTGAGAACAGCACATGGTGCTAATGCGGCTCCTAGTTGGTGACTTCGTGCTTCTTCAGGCTCTCGCGGAAATCTTGATGCTGATGCTGTTGCAAGGACAGGAAAGGGAAACAAACTCTTTGATTGATACGGTATAAAGTGGGCGGTGTAGGACTGATGGATGGTGCTGTAAGAGTTGCTGCTCTCAATACCCAATGCAGTGCAAAGTACTGGAACAAGTGGAATGAATAAAACAGCACTTAAACGATCACCAATAGAACCAGTGTTGTTGTAGAGTGCATCACAAGTCCTTTTACAAGACCAGTCATACTTGACTGGGTGAACGATGACAATGGTTCACAGTTCATTTGAAAAGCTTGTGACTTGGTTTTTAAGACTACACGACTTGGGATAAACTTGCAGGGACTTGTGGTGGACTTGGCTACAACAGCATTTTGGACAAATAGAAAGATCCAACTACAAACCTGGTCAGTTTTAGAAACCTTTTCGACCTTCTTCAATGTGGGCTTGACGCTAGGGGAAAATAGGAAGACAAGTGTCAGTGAAAAAAAAATTTCAAAAGGGTAAAAAAAAAAGCGAAACATCAAACACTTGGGCTCTCTTTCATGTCACGCAGTGTTGAGGAACGGGCATTGTATTGTCTGTGGCTTTCTGTCTGTTGTAGACTTATGGTACAAACCCAAAGCCATAGCCACTTCAGATGCAGCCTGGAATGAGAGATTATGTCCCATACTAAGATTTCTCACACCCAAACGATGGGACTTTTGCGATGAAGCTCCCCTTAGCCATTGAATGAATCCACTTCCACCTTCAAAGGTTCACAGCCACTTTCTTCGGCCTCGGCAAAATCTCAAGTACTACAGCTGCAGCAAGTGAGGTCAGAAAGCGCAACAAGCTGCATTAACCCTCCTATGCTGAAGTCACTCTTTGGGTCACTTGGTAAAGGTCTCAAAGAAGCACAGCTGTGTCGTGTTGTGCACTGCACCAACTGTCCCTCACAGGAATATCAGATTGCACTTTTGTGCTGCCCAACAACTGCGCTTCACTGTTTCGTGTGCATAATTGTGCAGTAAACCAAATGCAGTGAAGAGGACTGCACAGAAGACCCTGGGTCATTTTGTGCAGGCAACCAACTATGTACACACTGAACCTGTGCATGTTTGTGTTCCATGTAGAAAACACATGCAAGAGAGTGACTGTGGGCACGCGTGCATATTTGTGCTGTAAAACCAAAGGAGGGTTAAAAGGCCCACCCCCGTGTGATACTTACAATTTACCCTTGATTTCCATTGCCCTTCTGTTCAACTCTGCAATCTGGAGGGATGAGAGAACAGAAATGGACGCATGGATTTCTTTGGTTGCCAGAACTTGTGTCCAGTCCCAGTCAGTGAAACTGCCAAACTGAACAAACTCCACTCTGAGTGCTGGACACGAGTCATTCAGCACAGCTAGAAATGATCAAGCCGTAGCCCCGTTATTCCCACTCAAGACCTTTACCCTCTTAAGCCTCAAATGTGCTGATTTTGTACCATGAACTACATCTCACAAGTCTGGTGTTCAAAGAAACAAGGAATCTCTTATGCGAACCCAGTGACTTCCATTATGATGCATCAGACACACCAAGCATCAGTCCTGGCATGACTGGTGTGATGTTTTTGGAAAGAATACCTAGTCTTCAAAGTCTTATTCTTCAAAGTCAACGTGTTATTAACGAATTCCCCGTGTGCCTCAAATGCTGTCAAACCATTTCAGAAGGTAGCAGAGAATTTGGGAGAGGGGGTACCGCATTATGTTTTTCTCTGTAGTCAACACAGTTTGCATGGTGTAGCCAGAACTGAAAGAAAAAATAATGGGTGACGGCCCTAGGCAAATGCCCTTCAATTCTCATAGTAATGAACCTTTCACTTTCAAGGATAACAAGCAGGACAAAGCAAAGAAAATGATAAAAAGATGAATGGAGATGAAAATCACCAATTTGCTCGAGGAAAAACAACCCAAAATTGACCCCTTCCCATTGTTGCTTATCAGCTCTTAACTGGGCCAATTTCATAGAACTGTTTAAGCACAAAATTTGCTTAAGCAAGAAAAAAACTTGCTTAATAAACAAAGGTTACCAGCTAAAACTCTGATTGTCATGCTGACCAAAAAACAAGCTAAATACAATCCAAAAAAAATAAACATCACATGGAGTTTTGGCTGGTTACCTGATTTATCAAGTAAGGTTTTCTCACGCTTAAGCAATTATGTGCTTAAGCAGCTCTATGAGATTGGCTGCAGCTGAAGAGCTCTTTATTCCCCCACCCTGGGGAAAAATCCCAGCCATGCAATTGGCATTATACTTGTGAAAAAGGTTAAAGACTTCCCGCTGTTTTATTCTGCAACAATCTTTTAGAGGTCTTTGATCAAAAGTGGTTCTGACAGTCACGCACACTCATTTTGCACGACTGGGTGAGGTGGAAGTTTTCACACAACGCCAAGCTGGCTGTTTTGCAAATATCGTCCCAACGGCAACCGCTCGGTAACTGGTGGTGAACTTACGTCAACGTCGCGATCGCGGATCTCTACCTCCAGGTCGTACTTGTCGCTCTCAGCCTGCATGAGCTGGTCGTGCAGCCGCTCGCACAGGGAGCGCAGGTCCCGCTGGCTCATGCCCTCCACGCTGACCATCTTGACGTTGTCGGTGATGAACTGGGCCTTCTCAGCCGCTGTCTCATCTGCCTCTTTCTTGAGGTCCTCACCAGCCTTCTTCATCATCATGGACTGGAAGGCCAAAAAAAGGGAGGGTGGAAGGGGGGCAGCAGTGCAGAAAACAAGGAACAGTAAGATAAGTGGACTTGTGTTCAAGTGAGTAAAATCAGTGTCCCATTTCTAGGGGCAAGACTCAAGGATCGGGAAAAATGCCACACATCACGCAGCCCCGGGGTTGCAACATTGACATGTAAAAGCTGGGACTGTTCTGGACCTTTTAGACTGCAACTACAAGCACAAGTTCTCTCCCAGTGGCTACGCCTATGTGAATCTCGTACTTGCTGAAGCCCTGCCCCCTCTTTGACAGACCTTGATGTTCATCCTCCGACCAGACTTCATCTTGGATCCTAGGGATTTCTTCTCTGGTGCCGGGGCTTCTCCACTGTCTGCCGCTGGCTCGGCAGTTTTAGAGGCAGCTTCTTTCTTTTTGCGCTGCAAAAAAAAGGGGAGCTTACAGAATGGTTATATAAATTATGGATGCTGAGGGCAATTCAATGAGTCAGGTTTTAAACACAGACGTACCAGTTCTGTTCAATTTTTTCACCCAATTAACACTTTGTACAGATGGAACTTCTACAGCAGGAAATGGGAAGTGGGGTTGAGGGTTTTGAAACAGTTCCTGGACAAAACCAGGAGTGAGATTTGAGGAAACTGAAAAATCAGAAAAAACTTATGCCTTCTTAGGTACGCCCCTCAATCCTCCTATTTCAACAATTCATCACACCGCGTGTACCTGTAGTATCCTTGATTGTTGATTTTTCCGAATTAGTTTCCGATAATATTCGTCTTCACTTCCGCTGCCTCTTTTTCCACCTGACTTTCAAGCCACAAAAATGTCCATACGTTTTTCAAGCCTTTATCAAGTGAAAGATTTCCATCACCATCAACGAATTCAAGGGGATAGACAGCCATCAATTACGGCGACAATTAAAGAACTGCACGTAACAAACATGAAATGGCACCTGAGTTTTCAATAAATGCAGCGAACTGTGCAATGCACGGCACATGTACAGTTACAAGCTGTGCCGAGTCTAAGGTTCAATATCATGCACCCTCACTGTTCAGTGGTATTCTATTCCATCCCAGCTGCAGTGCCAATATAAAAAGTGCATGCTTTCAAAATCTTAACTTGATTAAGTCCTGCACTCACTTTCATGTCAAATTTGGAAAATACAACCCCTAGTTCTGGCAACGCCATGCCAAGGAGAGAAATCTGTAAGTGCTGTACACAGTTCAGTACACTTTTGTACTCATTCAACTGAAAAGTCGGTGTATGCAGGGAAGTGCAAGGCTTGACTTTGATGTATGTAAGCAGGTTTATGAGCGACTACTAAAGTGCCATGGAAGTGCCCCTTCTCGCTCGCTCACTGCTCTGGTCAGCACTCTCAGCAGTCTGCATGTCAACAAGACTCCAGACGTTCTTACCTCTGCCTCCGCTTGCTTCTTGCGTTCAGCTTCAGCCTCCTGCCTCTTTCTTTCCTGTGGATTGAGGTATTAAGGATGCATCTTTGAATGTCCTTCTTCCACCCTGCAATGCTGTCCTCTTGGTCTTTCATCCCTACACAATGTCATCTTCCCACCCAATCCTTGTCTCGTCTGCAGTGGCACATCCCTTCTTCTTATCCTCTTTAGGTCATTCTCTTAGCCCTGCAACTTGGTTGATCTAAAGGTCTCTTCACTAAGTCATCCAACCATGCTCACCTTATCTGATCATCCTTTACCATTCCGAAACTCTGATCTTCACATAATCCTTTCCACATTGTCTCCACATCTCTACTCACTCTCATCCTCAATCTTCACCTCATCCCACTTGCATTTTCTCCGCATCTCTACTCACACTCATCCTCAATCTTCACCTCATCCCACTTGCATTTTCTCCACATCTCTACTCACACTCATCCTCAATCTTCACCTCACCCCACTAGTATTGTCTCCACATCTCTACTCACACTCATCCTCAATCGTCACCTCATCCCACTAGTATTGTCTCCACATCTCTACTCACACTCATCCTCAATCGTCACCTCATCCCACTAGTATTGTCTCCACATCTCTACTCACACTCATCCTCAATCTTTACCTCATCCCACTTGTATTGTCTCCACATCTCTACTCACTCTTCCCCTCCATGTACATAGCATCTTCTTTTCATTTCTCATCCTCCCTCCCCACACTCACCCTCCCTTCTTCGTCTCATCCAGTTTGCATTTCTAGTCATTCCATCAGTCCTCCAGCAATCTTCGCCTCATCATGTCTGCTTTTTATAAGCAACCCCCGTCCCTATCTTCCTCTTGTTTGCATCATCTCATCCTCTCTTCCTATGCTCATCCCACTATCTCTCCCAAATCTTTCCTGTCCTCTTCCTCCATCTCACCTCATCCTGTTTGCGCTTCTTCTCCTCTGCCTTCCTCCGTCTCTCTGCTTCCTCGTCCTGACGCCTCTGCTCTTCTTCCTCCTGACGCCTCCTTTCCTCCTCCTCCGCCTCTTCCTGTCGGCGACGCTCCTCCTCTTCCTCTTGGCGGCGTCGCTCTTCTTCCTGTCGCCGACGCTCCTCCTGGAAGTTGTTCAAATCTTTCGCTCTTTACATGTTTTTATAACATGAGGGAAAAAACTATGCTCCTTAACCACTTCCTATCGGGGTGCAGTAACTAGGAGACAGGTTTGGAAATCGCTTCATCTGGGCACCTAGCACGCATACAGTGACAGTTATTCTAACATTGATTGGTTGTGCATGCTCAGAACATCTGGCACCAAATGCATACACACATGTGCGCACAACCTGCCAAGTTTGTCACTAAAGACTACCGGTATGTGAAAGCACGCCATCTCTACTTCCCGCTCAAAGCCAATAGCGGTGTCCATTACAGTTTTGTTCAGTGCACACTAATCTGGCATTTAGAGTTAGAAACCACTGCTGCACGAGTGCCATGCTGGTACGAACGTTTCACGTGCGTATGACGAGCTCCTTCCACCAACAGGGTGTCATGATTTGCAAAGTGCATATGTGCCTCAAGTTTCAATATAGCCCTAAGGTGACACCATGGTAGTAAATGCGTCTCCTCAGATCGACGTGACTGTTCATAACTCCCAGTGTACGATTTCCACCTCCGTCTCATACAACACCCTCCCCCTTCCAGAGGCAAGACTCGGGACCAACCTCCTCTTGGCGCTGTCGCTCATGTTCCTCCTCTTCTCGTCTCCTGCGTTCTTCCTCCTCCTGCGCCCTGGCTGCGGCTTCTTCCTCTGCCTGCAAAGACCAGAACCCATCAATGCAGAGATGGCTGCATCTGAATTACTCGGGCTATGGCCAGGATTAACACACGGGTATAAGGGAAAGGCCTAGCTGCTAGGCTTCCACAAGTGCATGTGTTTTTGCTAGCCACAGGCGTGAAATTTTAGCATATCTGTTCCTTACAACAACGATTTATACTCTCCCAGAGCAGCCCCCAGAACACTCAAAAAGCATTTTTGTCAATCACCACTGGAGAAACTGCTGGCAGAGCAACAAGGGCTTGTCAGGAAAGAAACTGGCCAGAATTTGGCAGCACCTGAAACAGTTGTCGGTGGCTAGCAGTAACACTTTTGTCTATGGCTTCCACAGGCATGGAGTGTATCTGTTCCTGCTAGCTATGTCTTTGGCTTTCTACTGCATTCCCAAACTATACAGTTTTTTTAATTCGATCTCACCTTACGTCTCATTTCGTCTTCGTTGTTATTTTCTTCTGGCTGCCTCTGAGCTGGCATACTGTCCGTCTGTTGAGAAAAATTAAAGGGTAGGGAAATGAAAAAATGGATTATGAAACATACAGACCATCTCACACAAATGGGAAGAGTACACCGTGATCCCCTCACTATTCTTATGAATATTTATATGCATATTGCTTCCAGAATTGGTCGTAATAATCAGGAAAAACACCCCAAAAGGCCCCAAAGTTAAGCTGTTGAAGGTGGCCATTGTGACTAATGGAAATGAATCATCCACTAGTCTTTTTCTCAAGCACTACTGTATGTGTACCATACACAGACTGAAATTCAGGGATCAAAGTGACCAGCCTGGGCTGAAGGTTATCCTTGGCTATGCACAGTCTGTGCTCATCTTACCTCGTCGTTGACCAATCCCGCCTCCCGCTGTCTTCTCTCCCGCCTCTCCCGTCTCCTCCTCTCCGCATCCGTTTCCTCGGTGGGGCCGTTCGTCTCAATTGTCTCTGCTTCGGCAGCTGCTAGTCTATTTCCCCCAAATTATAAAAAACCCAAACCCAGGGTATTACATCTATTGTCATTCGGAAGTGTCAGACATAACTACATTTTATAAACCTGATGCAGGGTGGAAGGGGCTAGAAAGCTGCGACCCTAGGTGGCTAGGTGGCTTTCTTCTGGGAAACATCCCGGAGAGGAGTGATGCGCACAAGCCATTTTCCACATGGGACAAAGTTCGCATCTGAAACAAAATGGCTCTTTGGGATTCCGACTACACAAGGACTTGGCGGTTTCAATATTTTATCGGACAAGCATGGTGTAAGATAACCGTAAATACCTAGAATGATTTTAACAGTTTAGAGATTGGTGCTGACCTGTGAGCAATAAAAAGATGGAAAGCTGTAGGAAAATTCTGTAAAATACCAGTATGATGACTAAAAATGTTAGAATGTGGCCTCTTCGAGGTAAATACTTGATAGTGCATGGTACAGAGAATTTCTCTCCCAGTTTGGCATACATTCAGTTTTCAATGTGTACATGAACATGCAGTTACAACTATAAATGTACTATTTCTGTGTTCTTGAACCCGTGCTTGATACTGATGTCAATGTTTATGCCAAGATGAAGAGACAAGTGGTGGCATTTTCCCAGCTTCTCTCCCCATCTCCAACATCCTATTTTGCACAAGTTGTGATCAGTTCAGGAGGCTCGAGGCCGGCTGAATTTCAGCAGAACAGTGGTGCGCATGATAGGCTAATAGAAACAAAACAGGAGTTTACTATGAAAGGCCAGTGCTATGTTAAAAACATTTCAACATCACTACAATGGCAAGGTCTCCAGAAAGTTCTCAAATATATTAGGAATTCAGGGGGGAAAATGCGAAAATGTCTGATTATGTAAGATTTTGACGCAGTGTTTTCAATCTGTAATGGCATACACGTACACGAGAAGTAAAAAAAAATGGGAAAATCAGCTGATCCGAGGGAAAAGCTGCATGCCAGAATAAAGCCACGTTCTAAACATGTCCTACTTATTGCAGTTTTCCAAGCTACTGTACGCTTGGTTCAGGAAATGTACCATCTTTGTACTTCCAGAGCTTCTCTTTAACCCTAACCCCCCAAAATCTTCCAAAATCCTTTTCTGCAAAGTGGAGGAATTTGCAGGATTCAGGGTGTGTGGCAAAAGTGCATGGCTAATTTCAAAGGATGCCAAACGTGAAGGTCGTGAATTAGACCTTATATTGTTTGTGCTTAGTCAAGCACAAATACAGCCCGATGTTGCTTTTGAATCAACTGCACAGCTCAAGAGTGCCATTCGTACTGTCTCAACATGCATGTAATGACAGGATTTGCCGGAGGATTTTGAAGGATTCGGGTAATAAGGCACACCTCCAAATGACATTTCCAAGAAATTTTGGAGGATTTGGGCTGAATGCAATTGTTTCATGTTGAAATTGGAGGATTCAGGATGGTTCCTAGAAGAAGGCCTGGGGGTTAAGGTTAAACATATTTCATGTTTTTTTTCTCCTTTCTACTTGCACTCTCTATTGTTGGGATGTAACTACAGCATGGCACCATTGCAAAGATAAGCAGACAAAAAGGGATTACATTTTTAAAACACTGATTAAAAACTGAGACAATAGAAAGAACTGGTATCACACTATGAAACTCTTTGTTTGGGGAAAAAAATGACTCATATGACAAAGGGGATAGAGAAAGATGACTCATCTGAAAAAAAAAACAACCAAAAACGGAGCAGCTTTCCTCCAACGACGAGGGTGTGTTGCACAATATACTCGAAACTACACCACGAAAGTAATAATGGCAACCTTTCCGTGAAATATCTGTGGTACACGTACATGAAACGAACAGTTGCATGCCCGAGCTTCCTTCATGTGCACTGAAGATATTTGAGCTGTTTACACAAGGCAGGCAACCCATGCAGAATTAACAGGTCTTGCTAAGTGTTTCAAAACAGTGCGACGCCAAACAAAAGTGAAATTCAGAAACGCTTACGACCGAACAAGAAAGAAAAAAAAACACACACCATGCCACATTTACTTGTGAACTTCCTTTCAGTACCAAACAAAATAATCGGATTACACCCTGTGCGCCGAGAGTTTCAATTCACAAATTCCATGCTCGGTGAGAGGTGAAAACTGAAGTAACGAAACTGAACACCAACACCAAAAACTTCCTCATTTTTGGCCTCAGGAAGCATTTTTATGCACAATTAAATCAAAACAATGCCACACTGAATTTCAGGATGTGGAGGGAGGGAGGGGGGGATGGTTAATGGTACCAGTCAAAAAAACTTACACAAGGGCATGCTGGGGTATCAACAACGATCCCGGGTAGGCATTGGGAACCAGATCATAAAATTTGGTGAATGAAATGCATGTACATTGTAATTGAATACAATGAGTAAGAATTGGTCACATTCGACTTGAAACACTCTAAAATCTACTCATATGAATTGAACAATGTACCGGTAGAATGGATGGACCCAATGATGGAAGCCTTCTATTGCGGACTTGTCAGTAATCTGCCATGATTGCATTTAAGTTTAGTCCAGATTTATTCACTGTTTCACAGTATAGATTTTTTGCAATTAACTTAACCTACTTAGTTTAAATGTGTGTCTGCACAGGGCCCCAGGTTCAAATCCCACCTTGGCTGATGAAATTCTCGAGGTCAGACATCTGGGAACTTCTGTACATTATTGAATAGCACAAGGGTAAATTTGCCCCTTTGCTGTGTGTTAAAAGTCCATAGTGACGTCATGCCAACCACAAAAATGGCCTGAAGTTTCCAGTCCACACTCTGCAGTCCCCCCCCCGTGACCATCTATCATTTCCCACCCACTTCTGATGAAACCCTACATTTCCTTTCCACACATCGTCATCTCATAGGGATCTTCCGGCATGAAGCCTTCCCGGTGCCCGATAGGCTTTTTTGCACAAATCCTTGACTCGAGGACCGGAAAGAAAACAGAACCATGCTATCAGAGAGGATTTTTTGTACACCTTCCCTGCGTCCCACTGTTATATTCAAACAAAAGGTAAAGGGTTTATACATGCACGCACAATTCCCTCTTTCGCCTCCGCTCCTCCCGTCTCCTGCGTAGTTCTTCCAGCTGCCGGTCAACTTCCTCTGCATCGCCGTTCTCTAGAGCCAATCTAGACGGGTTAACGGAACCCAAGGGGTAGGGTGTGGGGGGAAGAACAAAGACCAGAAAATCGATACGAGCATGCAAGCACACTGGTTAATGGCCACTGCAAATTGTCTGCACAGCAGTCAGGAAGAAAAACAGTCACTGGCCAGTTATTCGGCAATAAACACACCAAATGAGACTGTGAGAGAGTAAAGCTTGGCTCTATTAACTTTTCCAGGAAGTCCTTTAAAAGTGCATTTTGAGTCAAATTTCCTCCTTCCACAGGTTCTGTGTAAGAAACGACCGAATACCAAGTGAATTGGGCTGGCCACGTGACAGTTTCATCCTGTAGACTGCCATATTATATACAGACATACCACATCGTTAGAAAAAAATCCAAAATTGTGCGCTTGAAGTGCACCACAGTGAGTGGAATAACCACAGCAAACAGGTGACTATGACATGCACAATACAATGTGGCCGGGTTGAAAGGGGTCCCAGCACTGGTCGTGTGCCAAACAAACTCAATCCTAAATTACAGTGTATGTCAGTTGACATTTTAAATTCTTTGGCACAACAAGTGCATGAAAACATGGACATGTCCTTCCAGAATAAACAAATATGGATACGCGTCCCAGTATACATCGTAGCAGTAAGTCAAAATAGCAACACAAAACTTAACGCGTGAATGAAAGTTCCCTTCAAAACGGCGTCAGTATAACCCTGACACACTTGTTTGGAGAAAGGTAACCAAGCCCACTTCACTGTTTTTGTAACTTGGCATACAAGTAGTAGTACATACCTAAAGGGATTTAAGGTATTTCTTTTTACATTCATGTTAAATCAACAGGTCCTGACATTCCCGAAGGTCCCTTGGTACGCCTACATGTTGACCTTTGACACAAGGCTCTCGGGCCAACCGGGGCATCAATCACAGCAGTTCAGAATGCCGAGCCTGCTATTCATATTGAATAAACATACCATGGTCGCCGGAAAACAACCTAATACTAAAAAAAAAAATTCATGAGGGCGCAGTAATAATATTTGGGTCAAACTTGACTGGACGGCACGGTTTGTACAGAGACGTGTGCAAATAGCCCGCCTGGAGCGTGGGCAGTTATTTTAGGTCACACAATTCCCTGTGCAGACAAGTCTTATCAGGTGCTGATAACCCACTGTCAATAATGGACAAATATTTATTTACTTGTGACAAAAATCATTGAGTTCTCACAGCAAACTCCTCACAAAAGCACCAAAATCCGTCCGGTTATTCCACTTGAAGAGCAAATTGATTGATTTCACAACAAAATTTGGTCAGAGCATTTAGTTCCCTTTGAAAAAAAAATTGCCCATGGGTCATTCCGCTCACAACTAAATTGACAGGGAAACTACAACCTGACTTTGCCTGTCTGGTGAGTAGGTGCGTGCATATTTCTACACGGGACTGGAAAAACACAGATTTTCGTGAAGAAAAAAAAAAAAAAATTGCCTGGCTGTTCTAGTTACCGTTCTGCCTCCCTCTTCTTTCTTCTCTCCTCCCTACGTCTAGCCCGCTCATCCATCTCCTCTGGTTCCATGTCTGAGAGGGTGCTGGGCCTTTACCTGTGAAAATGCAGCCAAAAAACCTGGTCGGGTTAAAGTCAGAGAAACTTTTTTTGAGGGGGGGTTAGACTGATTTCCCCCAGACAAAACCATGATTTTCTGGCATTAAAACGCTCTGAAAAGGCATACAAATCTGCCCCTAGCCAATGGCATTCGTGTCCCACAATGATCCCCCTCCAATGTGCACTCCCTTGGTAGATCAGGTGGAGGCTTGTATCCTGAAAGCCAAAACTTCCTCCTGCTCCCCCAAATCCCCAAGGTAGGCTCCTGGTGAGTCAAGGTGAGTTCTCTCAAAAAGCCTAGTCCTAGCACTGGTAACAACAACCTGCCCAGCCCACTCGGTGTGACTGGGGCAAAGGCCAATCTAATGGCACAACACAGCTACATGTACAGTGTACATGTAAACACACATGTCCAAATCTCCTCTGCTTAACAAAGGGAGACCTCTCCATTGTCCTTTTAATAAGTTGTAAGGTTTTTTCTATTCCCCAAACAAGGTTTTAACAAGCTGAGGGGTTCTTTTTTCTTGGAGGGGGGGGGAAGACGATGAAAAGGTGTTAGAATAAGTTTGTCATGAGAGTTTGAAAATAGAGCTCAGTCTTGGAGTATGGGGATCACTGATGAAACTCTGGGCTGAGAGTTGTGTTCCGGTGTAGCGGTCTCAGCTGTCTCCCGGTCTCAGCGGTCCCCTCTGGCGTAGCCGAACATTTCAACACGACACAAGCACGGCCTTGTTGGTCTTCGGTGCCGAGATGTTCGCATGACTAACTCACACGTTACTACAAGCTGTGCTATTATCTGTGGTGTAGGCCTATGAAGAAAACACGTCGCTTACAACGTGAAGCGTGCATGGACTGCACTGCTCAACACGCCACTCAAATGGACGACTTTCCCATTGTTGTGCCCAGAGATGGCATGATGTATTTTTACCATATTTGGTAAGGGGGACCGCTGAGATCGGGAGACAGCTGAGACTGCCACACCGGTCGATGGATTCCCTTACACAAAGTTACAGCAGTTCCTACATGATGAATTTTGTGCCCCCCATTTTTATTTGAAATTCCAACTCTCCCAGAGTTAGGATATTTGTATTTTCGTACAGCGTGTGAAAACTTTTCGCTAGCTTAGCCGGAAACGCACTAATCTCCACTGGTTGGCTGACAATAAAATGCCGTAAACTATTAAACAAATAAATAATGTAAGCAGGTGCCATCATTTTCATATTATGCCCAACATATTTGTGTTAACTATATGTGATCACCCAAAATGAATGTACTTCAGGGTGCAAAATACCCACTGGACCAGTCCGGTGGACCGATGCCCAGTGATTTTCCATGCCATTCTTGTAGCATCAATACCAGTCCAAGCCCAACAATCATTATCAACTTTTTCCAGCCTTATAATAACACTCAAGCACATCCATCAATGAATACTTCAAACTTTTGTAAAAGAGATATGGTGCAAATTTCATTTTCTCTGCGGTGAAGGTCTTCCTGTACTGTAGTCTAGTGGCGACTGCTTAAACTCTTGGTTGGAGTTGAGTTCCAGTTGATGGGCTGCCTTACAGGAGTTCCTGCATCGGGTTCTTAACTTCTTGGTTTAGGACCCCAAAATGAATGCACTTCAGGGTTCCAAATACCTACTGGGCCTGTCTGATGGAGTCTGGACATGAGGCCGAGTCATTTATATGACAGTCTTGAAACTTCAATTGGTGTGCAAGCCCATACCACTCTTGTTGCATCAATGCCAGACCAAGCCCAACGCCAGACTTTTTTCCCCTTAGCATCGAGAGGCATTGGACTTTCAAGCAGTAGGCCCTACATGTTTAACAAACCAGCTGGTTCATAATAACTTTTGTAATAGTGCTGGTCTTGTTATGTGTTCCTGTCTACTCTAGGAATTTTTTTCAAGTTAAGGTCCTTTTTTCCAAAGTAATTTGACCGTGCACGTACAATGTAGATCTATGTACATTGTACATGTGTTGCATCATGGACATGTTCACGTATGTACATGTACACTTCATCTACAATGTACATGTACTAGTACCATATGCACATGCAACTTCATGTGCAGAACATGAACAACACAACAGTACTGTACGTGCCAATATACTTTTCGGTATTTTGCATTTCAGTGACAAATTCCACACGATAAGGTCACATAACAGGCAAACACTTACTCACTTCACTCTCCAGGACAAGTAAAACAGACAGCCAGAAAACTTGTCCAAAGCATCGCTGTTTGCATGCCCAATACAACACCCTGGGACAGTCACAAGGACAGTCACAAGGGTTGAGGGCCACTTCACAACTTGGTAAAGCCACATGTACATGTACCTCTGTGGTAGGATGATACCAAATTTCACTACAATACTGTGTACATTATGTTCATGTACTCCCTAGTACATACATGAACAAATTTATTTAAACTGCCTTGACCCCAAATAACCATTCACCTACTTACCCCAGGTGACAAGCCCAAACAGAAACACCTGTGTGCGGCAGCACCTCTATGGCCAAAATCTAATTAAAAGGAAAGCTCTTCCTTTGAGGACAGTCAAGGACAGAAACCATCTCCCACCTGGACCATAGGGCTTGATGCATGAGTACCCACTGAACAGTCTGACAATTCAAAGTGTCAGTCTGGCACTAGGGCGGGGCAGGCCTCCTCATAAAAATAGATCTTTTACTAACATTTTTACTGGTAGTGCATTTCAACTCTATGAATGTTACTGGTCATTCAAGTCAAATGAAGAGATAAATGTTCAAAGTCCCATTTAACCAACTTAAAAACTCAAAATGTTCATTTTTTTATGGAAAGAGCTACCGGTCACTCAACATTCAATTTTATTGTTATCGCTTCTTAAAACAACGACCAAGAGAAATCTTACAGCACTTTACCTGCCTTTGACAAGTCTAAAAAGCCGGCATAATGACAACATTCCTGTGTGCATTACAATGTACATGCAGGTATTGCGTGTTTGCACCCATCCTTTGAAATTTTTCTGGTTTCAGTAAAAGTTGAGGTAGTCTTTGGATAGCTACTAAAGAAATGAACTTTGAGCATGGTACCCGGTAAAATAATCAGTGATGTAGTTACATTTCTTCCAAGACACAACTTTTGGAACTGACGTGTGTATGCATACAAATGAGCTGTCACAGACAATGTACCGCACATGTACTTCAGTCTTCAGCTTGCATTTTGCAAGCAAGATTTTGCTTTTAGTATGGTAGATGTCCATTTCTACATGGTGCGCCACCAACCAAAACGAGTCAACATGAAATTCCCAAAAAATTGGGCACTAAATTTTTTGGAATCTCAGACCATCTGAATCAGGTTCTGAGTGGGTCTGACGAGACCGTCCCTAAGTGTCCTCCAGCCTTTTGTGGGGCTGGGACATGCCTGACATACCAAGTCTGCCAGTCAGTGAAGACTGTGGTGGGGACATGGGGGTCCTCTGTGATGTACCAGCTAGAAATCGGGGACCAAACAGAATTGTTTGTGATGGCCATCAAGCCGACAGCAGTCTTGATACAAGACGCCAGTGATAGACAGAGAATTGTATGTGTACATGTAGCTGTTCAGGGAATCTCTTGTCCTGTGGTCAAACACCCTCCTGTGGCATATTTCTACCCATCCACACCATCATCTGAAATATCTAACATTGCAAGCTTAACCAAGGGTAGCTCCAATCAATTTGTTTTAATACAAACCTTCAAAATGCACCTTTGTGTCTCAGTTAACCTCATTTTCAACTTTTGTTTCATTACATGTATGTCAAATGGTTGTGGTATTCTGCTGCCTTTTTGGTTTCTATGCTAATGAGTATTTCCGTGTTCAAGAGCAAAACCATCATGCCATCTCAGGAAGAAAGCCTCAATGTTACATTGGTTTGTATACTAAAAGTTCTGCACTTTTGTCGATTTTGATGGACAAAATGCATATGACCCTTGCGGTGTTTTGGGTGCGGAGTTCTACTGATGTGACTACCTTGAATCAGACGGATTGTTCAGCCTAGGACGTTGTCTCTTCAAACTCTGCTTCCATATTTGATACTCTGTTACACGCTGCGGACTAAATGCTAACACGGAAATGGTTTTTGATGGAAAGCAAGTGAAATTACACAAATGAAAAAGGTTAAGAAATGGACGAATGCGAAACAAAAATCGTGAAAGGGCAAGGCACACATTGCGGCATGCATGCATCGCGCATGCATGGTGACACATTTTGCTAGCCCGTAGTATAGCAGTTGTTCATTGTGGATGCTGTGCTCTTCCCGAGAGGGAAGTGCTCAGCCAAGTCCAGAATAAATAAAAACCCAGCCTTGACGCCAGCACCATTCTCCTCAATGGAATGGTCATGATCTTGTTGTCTGGCCTCAGACAGATCTAATCTCTCCATACAATGGAGTTGGTCTGTGTTGGCTATTATGATAGCTGTCCCCCCATTCATAAAGATGGCCCAGGAATGTCATGTGGACAATCCACTGTTTGGACAACAGGGCATACCTGTCACAGGGAAAGGAATGTCACACATGATAAGCATGGAGCTAGTAGTACATATGGATATTGTACTCTTGGTCGGTAGTATTGAGTATGAAGTGAGACGTCATTTTGAATCAGGAAGTGTAATGCAAACGAATGGAGTACGCGTGCATTAGATCACATTCAACATACATAACTGTCTCTGTGATACTGGTACATGTATTTACTTCAGTAGGACTACTCTATAGCCCCTGAGCACGAAGTGTCCATACATGTACATGTAATAGCCAATGAAAATGATTACATCAGGGCAGACACATCACACCGACGTGCCAGACTTTACACTTAAATGCCAGTTATCTCTGTAGTAAAGTGTCCAACAGTAAAATGTTCCACTATACAATGCGCATCACATACATTTACATAGCAGTAACTTTCCCGTCAGCAAAGTAATGTGATTTCCTGCTTGCATATTAATTAAACATGTACATGCATTGTCCAAACCAAAGACAGATA